TGTCTTTTTCATTTCAGAAACTGTACTCTTTTGAATTCCTCCCCACTTTGGGAAGCAGGGGAGAGAACCTTTAGCTCTTTGTAAGAAAACAATACTTCTGTTTACGAACACAGAAAGTGGTGGTTAGAATTTATATTTTAAAAGAGTGCAGTTGTGCTAGTGAGGTATTAACAGAAGTTAATATCTTTCCAGAGTTTCTGAAGCACACGGAGGAAGGTGCAATGAATAAGAATTAAGAAGCAGGAAAGTATGTATTAGGTTGAAAACTTCAAGCTAAGAAGTCTTTCCAAAGTGTGCTCTGCATCTTTGTAAATGAGTGTATTTTTGCACACACACAAAAAAATCTCAGGCACATTTCAGTGTTGCAAAAGGAAATAAAATCTAGGTGCTTGATTCAGGGTTTATTTTATTTGACATAAGCGAAGAACATTTACTTCAAGACAAGTGTCAGAAATTCAGTAACCTGACTCTTCTCTTGACAGGTAGATATGTATATTTGAGAGTTCTGCAGTGAACTTCATGCCTTTCATTCACTTATTTCTGATTTTAGGCAGGATTTTGTTTAAAAGATTTCATGAAGAGCAAAATTTACCTGTCTATATCCAGAAACGGGGAGATGAAAGTTAGCCTTCTTTGTAGCATTTTAATGAACGTAAATCAATATTGCCTGCATTGAAATCCTGTGTTTTGATGATGGAGAGTGGTTCTGAACCTGACTCTGAACAAAGCTGAGGCAGACTTTCCGTCTCAAAAGAGAAGTCCATTTTGGAAATCTGATTTCTGAGTGATAATCAGCAAAATATTACTGACCATGCTGCTTTTATGATTCCTTCCTGCCCAAGGTTCTAGTCGTAAGTGAATAATCTACAATAGATTTATAGTGTAACTTAAAGAAGAAAAAAAGTTTGCCCAAAATTCCTCAGAGGAATGAGTCTTCACTAGTGACCTGAACAGGAACAGGTTCTTAATCTTTATGTAATTTTTCATTGTACCTATCAACGTTTTTAAATTATTTTAAAGTTTAATTCCCATATTAGATAAAACGGTCAAAGTTTACCTTGCTTGTTACAGTGTATGTGGGACATAGGTACTACCTGTGCGGGTGTGTGGTGAGAAGTGTCAGTGTAATTACACTGATTTGCATGTGCCATAAGGCACATCTATGGTAATTGGTACCCTTGTTGCTGCAGGGTTGAGTGGAGTAGGGCAGGAAGAGAAAGCTTCTTAACCCGCTTTATAGGAAATTTGTAACGTGGCCTTTCTGCTTTTACAGTTCTATAGATCTTGTGATGTGACTCTTTGATATAACAGTCTTTTTTTGTAAAAGGAAAAGGAGTAACCACTGCAAACTTGCCCAGGGATTCTTAGCAGAAACTCGTCTGTCAGCAGCGCACAGAAATATTCAGGAATTCCTGGAGTTGCCTTTTGCTCTCTAAGCAAAATACTACACTTATAAAAGGTGAATTTTATTTAAAATACTATATACGGGTTAATTTTGGTTTTTAAATGAAAAATATTTAATTTTATCATGTAAGTATTTATGTTTGTACGTACTTAGCTGTGCGTGGGGTCTTGCCTAGCTAAATAAGGTAAGAGTGAAAGGAGTTGGGGGAGGGAATTTTTCTCTCCAGTGAACTGAGACGGGTACGTCTGCTGCGTATTTGTAACTTCTCGGGAAACAACAGGAATGAGTTAACTAAAGATTAGACAGTTTGGTGTCAACAGAGAAGTGTATAGCATGTCAAAAGTATGTCCATTTTTATGTGTGTTTATTATAGGAATACATGTACGTTACAGATAAATTTTTGAAGGTGTTACACTGTGCTTCTAACTAGCTTCGTTAGATAATGCTAGCCATTGGGTCATTCTGTGTGTTATCAGCAGAAGTAGCAAATCAGCGAAATCAGAATTCCTTTAGCAGACCAGGTTTCAGTTAAAATTAATCTAAAAGCACATTAATTAAATGCATGTTTCTCTTTGGGAAGCTTCCATATTCCATAGCCCAACCGTATAAACTGGTTCAGTTCAAACAATACTGTAGGTATGTCGAGAGGTTTGTTTGTTTTCTGTAGGATGATGTAGCATCAGATACTTTACACAAGGCAAGGAGAAAATGGAAGGATCTGTATACTGTTGTATTTGCATCTTCATCTGGTTGGTTGAGCCTGTGGTGCAGCATTGTTGAAATTGTGGTGCATTTAGACCTTTGGAGGGTCATGTGCATTTTGTACATATGTGCCTAGCTTGCAGCAACAGGGAAAATCGGTACTTCTTCCAGGTTTACTATTTTGTGCCAAAACCTAGAAGACAAACTTTTCTGAGTAACAGTTGTTTCTGAGAACATATTAAAAGTTGCCATCGTTCTAGGAACTGATTTGGCTTCTGTTGCTTCCCATAGAGAGGAGATGGACTTGCATGACTAAGATAGCTGAGGTCCTGCACAAGAGCTTTTGATTCTGCACAAATGTGATTTAGTTGAGCGGGAGGTAGAACAAGAAGGAATGAAGAACTACATTTCAGAAAGGTTCTGATAATCTTGCAGGTTTGAGACAAAAACAGATGCTAGAAAGGACTTACTCATGCTTGTGAAAGTTGCAAGAGACAGAAGGAAATTCTTATAGTATCTACCTTTATTAAGGTTGGCTTAAACCAAGCACAAATTTATAGCTTTCTAGTTTCACTGTTTTTGATAAACTCAGTGATGCCTGCATGCTCAAAATACCTGTGATTGATAAAGTTAAAAGTCTACAGGAGTCAAACAGTAGCGAAGAGGGAAGGAGAATATTGAGCTTGAGCCTCATTTGGCTGTTACATGAGGGGGTGACACACAGTGTTTGAACATTCTGGGAACTCCATGGTGTTTTTTTCCATCTGCTTTTTGCACTTATTGTTGTTTCATAATGGAATGTAAATTTGGTAATAAACATGTGTAACATGCCATTTTTCAATATATTTGTCATCTTGTGTGGTTTGTTCTAATTAGGCTTATTTTGACTAAAATTTAGTGATTGTTATACTGTAGACGAGCTTAGTGAGTTGGTGTCTGTGCAAGTGGTGGCTGTAGAAGTGGAGAAATTGATTTAGAAACTTGCCCCAGCTGTGGTGGGCTGTTTGCTGCTGCGTTTGTACCTAAGCAGTTACAGGTGGCAGATGCGCAGTAAATGTGCAAAGCTTCAATCTAGAACAGCATGCTTGTAGAGCATCTGCTGCTGCAGTTTGGCAAGCCTTGTACTTGGGAATGAAAAACTGCACAAATGAAGAACAGCTCATCAACCTCTAGAGAGAATATCTGAATGTGAGCCTCACTTTAAATGAATGTGTTCTGGTACTTTGGGGTTTTTTTGGTGTGTGGGGTGGTTTGGGGTTTTTTTCCTCCTGCTATTTTACAGCAGCTAGTATGTTCCTCTGGCATTATAGCGTTGGACAACACTGTTGTTATACAACAGTGTATACAACAGCTGTACACTGTTGTTTTTCCATCTCAGTGGCTAATGTTATGTGAGCCCTCTATATTTGTGACAAAGTGGGGGCAGAGATTGAAACCAAGCTACTTACCCTCGAAGAGTACTGCCTTTGTGTAGGTCTCACTGAAGTTCTCTTGGCACAGAGGTACCAAATTCTTTGACGTTGACCAAGTTTCTTTCACTAGCAAGTAGGTAACTTAGACCGTTTTGTGTGTTACCAGCTTAACTAATGATGGTACAGAAGTGCGTCCCACACTGGAGAAGCACTACAGCCAGAGGCAGCTAAATGGCAACAGAGGAACCTTAGATACTGGTTGAGTTGGGATTTCTGGCTACGTGCTCTCTCTGCATCAAAGCTGTTCATGGTGCGTATGAAAAGAAAATGCAGCATACAAGTTTGTGTTGAACTCCAGATTTCAGCTATCATCCTAAAACGCCTGAGGAGTACAGCTGGCAGCTGCTTTCTAAGAGTGTACGTGCTGTGTAAAAGTTTAAGAGGGAAGAATTTGTTGTTCCCACTTGTGCTCTAGCACTTGAGATGTAATAAGGGAAGAGAGTTGGACCTTATTTGAAGCTGGAGGAAAATAGCCAGAACTAATCACTAATGCTCAGGCGTGCCTGAGGAAGGTGCAAGGAAGAGCTTCTGGGAGAAAATGGGTTTATTAAACCACCTAAATCAATGGGATGTTGGCAATTCTGAAAAGAAATTCTGAGGTGATTCTGCACAGATGAGACTTGGAAATGCCTTGAGCTCCTTTCTTGTTTTCCTTTTAGTTGGTCGCACTGCTAAAAGAAAGATTTTTGACAGTCTTTCAGGAGAAAAGGCCTTTAAATAGCATTTTAGACAATGGAGAAGTGAATATAAATAAGGCCTTGCTTGGGCGTAACTCAATGGTTTCATGATGAACTCCTAAACAAGCATCAACAACTATCTTGGAAAATTACTCCTAGAATTTGGAAGCACAGATTTGCCTGTTTCTCTAATTGCTTACTGCCTCTGCCAGTTGTTAAGGCTCTAATCATTCTCAGAGTCTGTAATCTCTCTGCCCTTACCTTTGCAGACACAAACTGGTACCAAAGAGAGAAGTATTCAGCAGAAGAGTCCAGGGAACACCCTGTAACAAGGGTGTAAGAGAACGAGCCTCTCATTCAGAACAAAACAGCGATACTAACAAAACTTTAGCTTCTACTCAGAGCTTACAGAACTCCCTGTGCTGTGTGTACTGATCACAGGAGGCAATAGAAAAATGTTTTTAAGGAGCTGGGTACTTACCTAGCTCACCTACTACTTTTGCTGTGCCTAGAACTGAGACTTGAAGATCAGAAGGTAAGTGAATACAGGATAACTGGACATCTACAAACACTGATTTTCACTGTCACAACTACTCTGTGTAGAGGATACTCTAAAATGGAGGTCACAGCCACATCCCGCTGAGGATGCTGGAAGTCCAGGGCTTGACTCTTCCTTGAGGTGTACCAAGAAACTAAAAATGAATGATTTTAAGTGGTGGGGAGAAGTAACAAAAGACACTGATATGAGCTGATTATATCCTATAAAATTTGCAGTACTCCCCTGTTTATTTTGCAAAAGGTAGGCATAAAATACACATGGCTTCATAATAGTTGTCTTAAAAATTTGCATTGGAAAGATACCTTACTAAACCAACAGCAACGCGGTATGGCTGATAGAGGACACTTGAGCAAATTTCAGTTAGCAAAACCCAATATGGAGACCAGCTCAGAGATGCTTTCAAGTATAAAGTGTCATATATATTAACACTAATTTCTTAAGGCTTTTGCTCCTTGGCTGTACTTCCAATAACAACATTTGCTCTTGTGGTAAGAGCAGACATTGAAATTCAGTCCGTTACATTTTACCAAATTTTTAGCTGATACCAGCTGATCTAGGCTGCTGCAGCTCCCTCTGCCACGCAGTTCCCTCTCATTTAGTCAACAGGAAAGATGAGTTTTTTCCTCAACGTGAAACTTGGCTGTGGCATCTGCTTCTCTGCATTGGGCTCACAAGTTTTTCTGCTCACCTCTTGATTCACTGCTGTCAGAATGGTGAGAATATCTTCTCCACTGCAAAAACACAGGTACGTTTTGTATTAGGGAGGCGGTTAACATCAGAAAAATTACCACATTCTTTCTCATATATCTTGATCTATACCAGTACTAATGGCTCCTGTTTTAAACGGGCTTCAAAGCAGTTAGCTAAGCTGCTTTGAAAAATCTGCATGGTGTTGCTGTGTCTTACATTATTGTTTTCCCTTTGAGCAAGCATTGCTACTGCATATCATCTACCTCTGCATCCCAATCAAACTCCTGTCATTCAGAAGGAAAATATGGGTGTTGCCAAGAAGCAGCTTAAGGAAATATAGTTACCGAGGACAGCTTTCCCTCAGGTGCTGGCACAAAGCCTGTATGTACCAGGTCCCCCGCGCTGTGCTTCTGAAGGAAACGTGATCTGGGAGGGTAGCCATGCCCAGGAGGAAGTCTGCCTCTGCAGGGATGCAGTCGAACTGGAATCTTGCATCTGTTTCTACAGAAGAATCTTGCTCTCCAGAATCTGTTTCGATGGTCACACCTTTCTGGCAAGCATCACCTTGGCAGGCCTGAACAAAAAAGACTTTTGGTTTTCCATTAAGTGAGCGGCAATTCTGTCCAGTGAAAGCCGTGGTCAGTTCCTGGATAGGTACTTCCTGCCCATCAACACCATATATAACACCTTTTTTCCCATGAGACAGGATACAGCAAACAAAACAGTCTTCATCCTTGTGGTCTTTGCGCTGTTGGATGCTTATAGTCTCACGGATTTTCTCTGCAGTGAGGTCTTTGCACTCTTCTACTTTAAAATGAAGCTTTTCAAAGACTGTTTTCAGAGCCGCTGGAAAGTAAACAGAAGGGGAATTGGAGCCAGTTCATTATATTAAAGTTGGAATCTGCAATTGCAAACTGCATTTCTAGAGATAAAAGATCTTTTTTAAAATTCTGCTGCGCTGCTATCCAGGTGGTTGCATTTCTGCTCTGAAAATAATCTAGTAGTGTAATTTCTAATCGAATCTCTACTGAGGTCCCTTAACTCTCATTAAAACGTTTCCTTGCAGTCTTGCTGTTTAGTATTTCTTCTGTCTGGAAAGCATGTTAAGAAAGCTGTCTCTCTTTCCCCCACCCACTTTACAGCTAGTCCCATCATCTCTCACTGCTGAACAGTGCAGTTGCTTTACCCAGGAGTAGAAGGCACTGCCTGTTTGGGTAATACCTGTACCACGGGAAAAGAAACATCGCACTCTGACTACTTAAGTTGGAGTTCAAGAGTTCAATTCAGGCTGGGAGGCCCATTGAGGGATTTTATCTCTTGGCACAGATAGTGCAAATACACCCGTATTACAGACCTTAGGGCCTGCGATGAGCTATGCTGCTGCTGCTGCTGCAAGACAGCCTACTAAAATCAGGATGCCTGAATAGTAAGGTAATTGAGTCTCTAAATTCCAACATCCTTCCTGCCTTTTTTTTTTTTTTTTAAGTTTTATATTAAACAACTGCCCAATTCTAGTTCAGCAGCAAATTTGGTTAGAATTCTGCATATTTCAGAAGTAGTAAGCATAAGGCTGACTCAAAGCTAGCCTAGCTTCTAAAGTCCAGGCTGAGGTTGCTACAAACTCAGTAAAATAGCAAAATGCTAGTGAATTGTTCAGAGTCAGCCAGTAAAAGCTTGACAAGTTGATTAGGGTTTGTCAGTACAAAGCTGACTCAGCCACTAAAACAAAAGTATCCCAGGAAGGGAAGACTGAAATTCAGACCTTTAGTACAGAAGAATAAACTAGGTTTCTTTTTTGAAGATACACAAACTCATCTTTAATATTCACTGTACCTGCATCCACGTCCGTCCCATTCCGATCCTTCAATTTTTTGGGTTCTGGCACTGCTTCCCTGGCTTTTGCAAAACTGTGATTATTCAGGATCAGGCACACTCCACGTGGTCGGCTAGTCATTTTGTAAGCTTCAAGCCTCTGAAAAGAAAGTACTGGTGAAACTACTACGCTCTTCCCAGCCCTTGCTAGCGGCACAGCAGGGCAAACCACCAGCTGGCTTTCTCTCTAGGCAGCTCTCCCTATACAGCTTTGCTCCCAGGACCTGGCACTGCACTGCCCCACCACCTTTGGGACTCTGTGCCCAGCACAACAGCCCTCCACGGACCCACAGCACCACGCTCAGCCCACACGGGATGCTGCGCTCACCCGCTTCATGCCCGGCCACCTGCCAACTGTTTCCTGGTACAATAAACTCTACCCATCTTGCTACCCTTGCAAATGTCTCTGAAGTTTTAACACTGCAGTAGCTGCTGCCTGTGACTTAGGATGTTACAGTGGTGCGTTTTTCTAGACAGTGCTTTTAACAGTTGGGCTTTCATAATGACTGTTCACCCCATGGAGGGATGATCTAGGCCAAAATGATGAGGTTTCTGAGAAACAAACTGCCTTACCTGGGAAGATTCACTCCAACTGCCAGGAGAATCAGGTGACATGGGTGACGCCAGCCATCGGGCATGGGCTGAATAAAGACAAAAAAGTTTCAGTACAGAATGTAGCACTAGAGAAAGGAGAGAAGCTCTGTTCTTATTCTCTGTCTCCACAAGTACCCCCCAGGATAAAACTGTTCTCTGAAAACAGTGAGTTGTGGTTGAACTGCTGTTCCTGTTAGCTATAAACCACTAGATAATCAATTTAAAGGAAGTGATCAGTCAGTAAGTAACTGGATACTTGATCACTTTTTAGAGAGGTGCCTGTGTGAAGAAGTGAGATGCAAGCAGTGTAGAATCCAAGAGCTGAAGAAGAGTGAAAAATCTAAGCATTAATTTTTTGAGAGTTTCCATTACCTTCAGGGCCTCCTGTGCTGCCCCTCTGTTTCCCTGTGATGAGCATCTCTTCTTCACCTGAAAAGCATTCATTATTAGTCCTATAAGATATCTATATGCAACTTCAAGAATAAATATGGGAAAGAGGCCTTTTTGTTTTGTTTTACCAAATAGGTTTAATTCATACTCTTCAATTCTCTTCAACAGGCTGATGTTAATCTCTGCACAGAGACGCTTCAGGACACTTAGGTTGTCTTCTCCCAGAATCCCCTTCTTCTCCATCTCCATGAAAACGTCGAGCATTGTCTGGGTAATCAGAGAGGTAGTTTGCTCTTAGGGCACATCTGGGAGGGATGTTGCAGCATGTGCACCTAAACCTTCATGTACTGACAGCACACATGACCTGGATAATCAGTCCAGCTGACTGGTAGCTCCCTTGAGACCTCAGCTGAGTCAATTAAACATAGTTCAACAACATCTACAAGTAGTGCAAATACAAACATGTTCTCAAAACACACTTATTTCTCTTCCGCAGCTCCAAGCTACCAAGATCTAACAAGATCTAATCCAGGAGATCTAACAGTGATCATACAGGAATATACAATGTCATTTTTAATGAATGCTTTCATTCATTTGACTTCCAGTGGCTATCTTGTGCACTTCACTGAAAAAGAAGAATCACCATCTTGAGCAATGGCAAAAATTAGTATAACCATGCAAGTATGGTGTAGAGATTGCTCTAATGCAAAAGGGAACCCAAGGGACAGGGGCTCTTGCCAAACAGCGAGTGGCAGAGCACAGTGGTCACCCCAACAGAACACCTATCACTAGATGGTCACAGTCTCTCCTCTAAGAGGGAAAATGCTACAAGAGTTGTCATTAGACAGAACAAAGTACCCAGCAGTCAGAACTGCATGCTGAGATAGTATAAGAGCAGCTAAATCTACCGCAAGGCTATTTATAAAGTCCAAGGTCTCGGGCCTTAGCCTTGGTAAGGATCTGCTGCTTAGATCTGTATTTTCTGAGTTTGGAAATAAAAAGAACAAAAGCATAAAGTAATAGCCACAGGGGGTCATTTTAAGTGTCTGATAATGGCTTAGAAAGCAGGCAAAAGACAATTGCTTGGTCAAGATGAGCGAATGTGCTCATCAATGTCCCCAGTCTTACACAGATCAAAGCCACCAAGTCCCTTAAGCCCCATATGCTCATGGACATGAAGGGCCCTCTGTGCCTGGTGCAGGGTTGTCCCATGCTCTCTGCACTGTGACACTGCTGTGAAAGCTGCACACACACAAGTCCCATATGCACCGGAAAGCCTGTAAATCCCTTTCCAGGTGCATCATTTTTCTTACAGTGTTTTCACCATAAGAAGTCATAGCAACCCAAATGCCTCTATGGATTACAATACAATAATAATTTAAAAAAAAAAAAAAAAAAAAAACGAATTAAAGAAATTCTTACAGTCTTAGGGGTCAGCTTGCATTTTGGTAATTCCTTCCCCAAAAGAAACTTGAAAGAACTCAGCTCATCTTTGGTGATGTCTTCTGACAGCTGAAACAGCAGGTATCTAGAAAGAGAAGCAGAGGACACTGTTTTATCCTGTTCCCAAGCACGTCCCTTAGTACAATTTACCACCGGACTGCTGAACTGTCCCCTTCGCCCCCCCAGCCCCTTCCCAACCACATATCCCCCTTTTTTTTCATTCTTAAATGGGATGTCAGTGCCAAGACAGCCCGAAGTCAAACCATTTTCAGCTGCAATTAAAAAGATCTGAGTTTTCCTGAAATCAAACCCACGCTGAAACCTTCTGGAGGACAAGACTCGCACCCAGCCCGGGCAGGGGCCCTCGGGGGGCTCCCAAGCATTTCAGAAAGACGCCGCTTCGGTTTTCACCCTTTTACTGGGCAGAAATTTCAACTTTCCGTACGGCTCCGTACCCGCTTTCTCCTGGAAGCTGCTTGTGCGCTTCCAGACCTTAGCCCGGCGGTCGGTAAAACCGGCACCGACGGCAGGGGACGGGCGGCCGATCCGGAGAGCTGCCGGGAGCGGCTCAGCCCGGCCGCCCGGGGAGCCCGCACCGCCGGTCACTCACCTGTAGGCGGGCACCTTCGCCCTGCCTGGGATCTGAAGCTCTCTCGCCATCTCCTCTCGGCTGGAGCCCAGATGGGCAACCAGGAGGTCGATCCGACTGATCCGGTAGAGCAGCTCCTTCAGGAAGGAGAGGTTCCCCGCCTCGATCATGCCTTTCTCCCTCAGCGCTTCGAAGAAGTCCTGTGCCCTCTGGATGGCTTCCAGCTTCTTCATGGGGACGTGCTCCAGGCTGAGGAACTTCAGAGCCGCCAGCTCGGCCTCGCCCAGCTCCTCGCCGACCGCCAGCAGCCGCTGCCTGGGGACATCCATGGCCCCGCGCCCGTCCCGGGGAAAGGCGGAGGCGCTTCCGCCGCGCAGGCCGCGCCGCAGGGGCCGCTGGGAGCTGTAGTTCCTTCTCCATGTCTAACTTAAACAAAGAAACCCGCAAACTTCAACGTAAACATTGCGCGTCCGCCAAAGAGGACCTCTCTCGGGCGCATGTGAGGCCCCCTCCCTTCACAGCGGTGAAGCACTGGCTGCTCGTGAGCCCATTCTTGAGAGAACTGAACCCACAGCGCCCGCCGAAAGAAAGGTCTCTCTCCCACTGCCCCGGCTCTTCCCACAACCACCTCTCTCTGGGTTAAAGGCACTCACGATTCATTGCCATCTTAATACAAACAGAAAGCAGCTCATACATGACGCCACTGACTCGACTTTCTCCTTGCGAGCCTTTCGGGGCTGCTGGCAGGCAATGCTCCACGCTCAATGCGGGTGTTCAGCCCTCTACCCCACCAGCCACAGGCCATGGAACCAGCTCCCTCCCCAGCCCTCCCAGATCGGCTGAAGACCCTTCTATAGCAACAGGAGTAGGCTTGCAGGAGCACCATGTGATGGCATAGGACCCTGAGATGGTGCACCATCTCTGATACACCTTCTGGTGCAGCACTCTCAATAGACGGTGTATCACAACAGCGGGAGGGAGGAGGGAAGATATTTTACCAGTTGGCATTTCCCCCAAACAAACATTAACACCTCGGTGCTCACCTTGAGCAGGAGAGCAACCCTCAGGGCACCCATGCTCTTCAAATAAAGAAAGTGTTTTTGCTAAGCACTGATTTAAAACCAGAGTCCCTTCCATGCAAAAATCAAGAAAAACCAGTTTGACCGTATATATAGCGGAAATCTTTTACATCATTACCATGGAAATGGCCTATCAGTGTTCAAACCCCCCACAAGACATTTGCTAACTGCATGTGTGGCAAGTTGGGTCAAAGGTGGAAGTAATCTGATTATGGCAAGACACCTTTTAACAGCCCATGAGCTAATACACCCTCAAGTCCTGTTAAAACAAGCTCTTCCTAGTAAATAGACTGAAGGAGGTGTGGATCCTTCTCTTTGCTCTGATACATCTGCACAATTCAGGCCTGAACACAACGTGGCTGCGCAAATACAAAACTAGTGCAAAAGACCTGGGCCAAGCTGAGAAGACATCATGTCCAGAATAACGTTCCACCTAGCTAGAAATGTATTACCGTCGGCACCCACAAGAGCCAGCCACGTTCAGGGCCTGGGGAATTCCTGTGGTTGTCTGTAACAGAACAGGTTCAGTAACAAGAAAAGGCACAATTACAGAAAGGACACACAGAAATTAGTATCTGGGAATTCCCAAAGTTCTCAACTATTTTTTAGCGCATCACACAGAAGTCACTGCAGATTAAATGTGCCATTCTCTGTTCATAATTTGACACAGCTCTTAGTTGAGAGGAGGCAGATCTGAACAGTTTCAGAGAGAACGTGCCCATGTTCGTTAAGGGTCAGAATCAAAAGGGTAACCAGCAAGGGCTGAACAAACAACATCTCCAGTGAAAAATCTAGCTCTGGACTCCCTGCTGCGTAGCCTAATCTCCTAAATTGTATATATTTTGTTTCCACTTCTCCCTGGACTTCAAGATTTCCTGAGGAAAATTTCCTGTGATCTTACAGATCACAGACATAGCCAACAGTTCACCTAATCAGAAGTCCCCAGTACCACTCCACTTTTGCACCACTTTGAGAACTAAGAATGAACCCTTATATAGGTGGCGGAAAAACATACACTCACAGTAGCCCGTACAATGGGAGAAGCTGGCAGCGATCTGAACTCGAGCAGGCCCCTCACACCCACCACTAACCCATCCCAAGGGTAGCACAAGTCACCCCAAAACCATTCAGGTGGAGAGAATGACACACTTCCCATGGAAGGTGGGCACAAACAGATCTCTGGGATCCTGACGTTAAACTGAACGAATGGGTGGCAAGATGCAAATGTGTGGCAGTGACTCATGCCACCGAGTAACATTATTTCTGACTGTGCAGCTAACAGTCCTCTCCAACTCTTCTGAGCATTTCCCTTTTCAAACAGCATCACTCTGACCTTGCCTGCCTTCAGTTTAAGCCTGCAGGGCTTTACCTCACCAACTTTGCTTTCCTACCAGCCTTCTGACTCCACTTTCTGGTGGCAGCACTTCTGCTGGCTGAAAACAAAACACAGCATCGAGTGCCAGGATTGTTTTGCCTGGAGAGGAGCTGGAGAAAAGGGAGACAGGCAAAGTTAACTATAGCTGAGGGTCTTTCAGAGAGAAAGGACAATTGCCCCTCGCCATTCTCTAACTTGTGCTACAGAGGGAAGAAAAGAGTTAGAAAATTGCAGATCTGACTTCCTTCTTATCTGTCGTTTCTGTGGGAGGGCCACAAATACGTGCAAGAGCGTATCAGGTGCCCTGCTGCAGGGCTGTGTGAGCATACTCTGCTCAGCACCGTGAAACTGAAAGTGCATTTTCTCCTTCCTTGATCACCGCACAAGCCACAGACACATTCACAGCGCGACTACTTTCTGCACTCCTTTAGAGGCTTTTGACAGGGTTTTCTCACCCTTCTACCAGGTCTTCAGCAGCAGGCAATAACGTTAGCTGTGGAGGCAGCCTGATTTTAACAGGTAGAACAAAATACCATGCCAATTTAATGACAGGGTGTGACTAGCCAGCACAGCTCCACCTGTAGAGGACAGCTCAGAGGGGCAGGGCAAAAGTCCAATGATCTCATACAGAAAGCTCAATTTACCTCAACATCAGGGAGACTGGAGTGTAACTTTAGTTTTGCAGAAGACAGCTGCACCTGTGAATCATCAGGTTCCCCAAGACAATTAGCAAACAATAATGTCTTCCTGAGTCAACTGGGGTGTGGGTGTGTGTTTGTGTGTGTGAATACGTGGCTCAGCCCAACATAAAACTATAAAAACTGGACAACCAATAAAAGATTCAAACTTTGAAAAGAGTAATGGGCTTCAGCTGGCTTCAACCCACATGTACTATCGAAACTGAGGATGCCCAATGTCACGATGGTGAGCATACAGAGATGGGTAATGAGAATCACGTTTGTATTGTGATTCAACTGAATATTGCAATTGCACGATTATGCTTGTGTTCTGATTTCAGTATGTTGCTGTATCACTCTACTAAATCAAAATCCCATGAAGCACCAAATATACCAAATAAATAAATTTGATATCCAATTCCCCCTCATCTAGAATATATGAAAGAACTTGGCCTGAGTACTGAACTCTGACCCAGCGAATTATGAAAAACCAGACATGCTGTAGATTCACAACTTCCTTACCAGAGTAGCTGTCACCTTCCAGCAAGTTTCTCCCAGAGGAAGCAGTTATTTCATTTAAGCTGTATTTCCTTTTCATAAACCAACATTCACAAATCTAATTACAAACTTTGTATCAAGGTCTCATTTATGAAAACATTATAAAAATGTAAATAAATTGTTGCCACATTTCCTGAATGGTTAACCAAAGGTCAGCCACGAACCATATCATACCTAGTAACACCTTCTGGTTACTTTTGCCACAAACAGCACTCTCATTTACATAGTGCTTGTAATGTCTATTATTTATGAAACCTGTGTGAACAGAGCTGTGATTCTAAGAGTGGGTATTCCCCCTTTTACTTGGAAGGTGAAAAAGGGTAAGGGGAGCAAAATGCAACTGTCAACACACCGTGTGGAATTGGAAAAAAAAGTTTCACTTCAAGAACACAAGCAGGATTGAATAAAGAACCCCATCTTTGTGGCTAGACGTAGATTTCCAAAAAATACAAACTAACAAAAGACGTTACAAAGTGTTGTCTCAGATCCATCCTTTATCTTGTTATAAATTCAAAAAGAATGTAGCTGTCAGAATTCCATACAGCTCCCACACACCACCTACACCCTGCTGAGGATGCAAGGTAAGAACAGCCTCAATGGCAACAGCTGCCATTATCACGAAAGTCCTGAACTTAAACTCATTCTCTCCTACCATCTCTCCAGCTGCTAATGAAGGGATATCAATACACTTCCCATCAGAATGGCTGCCACTCAAGGAGAGCAAAGCAAGTCCTTCTGCTGATGTAAAAGTGTTCATCGTGCTGACCGTCCCTCAGTCAGCTCTTCCAAAAGAGAAACACACCACAAAGAAAGGTGATGTGTAAACCAAGAGTATTTATTACAACAGAAACAAGAGTCCACAAGAGCTAGAGCCAGCTGCCAGGAAGATAAGGAATCTCAGAGTCGCAGATTTAATGGAACGGGACCTGCCTTCCAGCAGTCAACAGCCATTCAAAACAGACTGTCCCATAAGAGCTCTGAGAAAAAACACAACAAGAACCCTTCCTATTAAAAAACCTAAACAGAGGCACTGTTTAGTCCAGTCAATTGATAACACAAAGAGAAACAAATATTTGGAGGAAAATAACAAACTCCTATCACCATCATTATCTTTTTTTGGTCCTTCTGGACAGGGATGGTATTTTCCATGAAAAATTATACAGCTTCCAGAGACAGCCAATGATTCACTTCTGGGTAAATCAGATACAACCTTACACATGCCCCCTGGGAAAGGATCTAGCATTCTGAATCCATCTGTTCTTTTCTTCAGATTTCAGGGACTTATAACAACTCAGACAGAAATGGGATTTCTATTGGCATTTCCAGTAACTCTTAAAAATCACACTACTTGGAAGTGCTTCCTCACTTGACACACAACTGAACAGATTCTATAGGGCAGAAAGCCAGACCTGTACTCCTCCATGGCCCTACCAGACCGTTACAGTTCCAGGTGCCAGTAGACTGATTAAATATGGTAATTAGAAAATTTAGGTCCCATGGCCCCTTGAAGGACTGGGGTTAACTACAGAGATCCAGATAATTCCTCTTGCAAATTCTCTTCCCTGTGGAAGTCCGTTACTGATGTGACTCCTAACTATGTGTATTCTTATTTTTCTACTTTCCAGTTGACTGAGATTGTGGAATTTGGAAGATCAATTGCTTCCGTAGGGTTGATCTTATCTCTGGCATCTGCTTCCATCCATTTAATAGTCTTGCTGCCACTTCCTTGTTCACTTCTGTCAGGATGGTTATGAGATCCTTGCGGCTTGAACAAAAATGAAGAAAAGTTACATTGAAGTACATGGAACTTGCAGCTAGTCCAAGAAGTTGATCTATGTTTGCTCCAATAAAGTGGTATCTCAGGGAAGGCTATTATCTTCCCCTCACCCTGTCTGTCACTGAAATTGCACACTCCATTGTGTAACCACTGAATTCAGTGCTTTGGGGGGAATAAAAACAACTTCCATGTAGCAATGCTTTACCAGCAAACACAGTCTTAGGTTATAGGCAGAAGAACGCAGTAAGATGAAACCTATGCATTCTCCAAGCCCTTTTCTGGAAACCATGAGAAAGTGATGCTTGAAGAGAAATTCTATTTTCTAAACCAAGTTTATGATGGGGATGGAACAATTTTAAAAATATGACTAAAGAACACTGATTTTATTGTCTGTGTAATCACTCAACAAATTTGCCTCTCATCAGGTGTCACTGGAACATTTATCAGTCAAAAAATGTTAAAAAGCACGCACGCACTTGTTTATATGTAATGTTCCAGCATTATAACCTTGGTTGTGTCACAGGCCAAGTAGGGGAAGTCACTTGTACTTCGGTTCATCTGTAGAAGAATAACAATGCCCAATTCCAGAATAATTACTGTTCTGCACTGTCCCACAGGTGGAAAGCATTATAAAGCACAAACACAAAACACAGATGTTTCAGCACAGCATGCTTAAGCATGTACATCTGCAATACTCCAAATGTATGTAGATTAAAAATAGTACTTACAGTGGACAAAGCAACTCCATCTTCTTACAGAGGCACTGAATGTAAATACTGCCAGTCTCCGGAGAGCGGTAGCACTCATAGTCTTCCATCGTAGCCATGCCAACGAGAATATCAGCCTGATCAGGAATGGTGGTCAGAGGGATAGCATCCGTCTCAAGATGCCCAGAAAAGTCGTCTTTTACTGTGACAGCTGGATGACCTACAGAGCCTTGGCAAGCCTGGATGAAAAACAGCTTGGGTTTGTCAGCGAGAGAGCGACAATTAGATGCACTGAAGCAGGAGAGTAAATCTTTAATATTTACAAGCTCATGATCAGTGCCTTTTATTTTGGCTTTTTCACCATGGGAAAAAATGAAGCAAACAAAACAATCCATGTTACTATGATCTTTTTTGCTGTATTCTTTAAGTTCTGCATACATTTGCTTTGCTTCTAGATTCCTGTGGACAACTGTCTTAAACTGAAGCCACTCAAAGACTCTCTTCACAGCCTCTGGGAAAAAAAGGCAGAAGGCGCTTGTTAAACATAAACAGCGACAAGGAAGATGCTGGAACATCAGTGTCTGTGTAGCAGAACAGATATTAGCATAGGTGTTCAGATCCCAACAATAAACTCACCTGACTGATTCTTAGCCTGAAAAATCTAATTAGAAAAAACAAAATGCCTAATTCTCGTTTTTTTCAAGTACAACTGGATTAAGCATCACACCGTCTAAAACAAAACCAGGTTTCCAATTATCTGACTAATAGGTACAAATTAGCAAAGCTTACTGTTTTAAAGCAAGCTGTAACTGCACATTGCATAGTAATCTCAGATGCTTAAGAACAACATTTAACAAGTTAAAGAAGAAGTACCTCTTTAAAATGACAAATTCTACCACTCGTAAATTAAGTAGGTCCCTCATTCTGTGACAGTGATCAACGCAGCAAGAAGGAAGGCGGTGTTTATCTTTTAAGATAAACTTTTATTTATCTTAAAACCAACTCTTGCAGGAAGACAGCCTTTAAGGAAATTTAAAAAGCAGCAGCATTCACTTGAGCATTAAAGAGAATTTAAGGACTGAAAAATATTACTCCATGATAGCCAAGAATTAAAAACAATTAAAAGGTGAAAAGATGGGATAGTAACCTTCACTATTTGGTACGTATGACCAACTAAGACCATGCTTTTCATCTAGACCAGAAAGTAGTTCCTTCTTTAAGCCATCAGCTAAAGTGTTGGAAGTGGTATATTTCCAATTTCTACACTGACTGTCACTGCAGTTACTCTTGAGGCAAAGGAGCTAAGTGGACATGATTCTTCTTCACAAGAAAGATTATATAGTTCTTTCAGATAAATATCAGAGAAAAACAACAAACCAGTAACTGGATTTAAAAAGCACTTACTTTCATCTTCCAATGTTCCTTCTCTGACGTCATATGGATTTTTAAAAATGTGGTTGTTAAGAATCACACAGTAACCATGGGGGTTATTTTTCATCTTATATGATTCCACGGGCTGTAGAAATGAAGAAAGTGGATAGGCGGCTGTGACAAGCATCCAGAAGAGAAATATGCTATACATGGATTGTTGTTCCTTCATGTCCAAGTGCAAAAGAAATCATGAGGGTCAAGACACAAAAAAAGGAAAAGCCTAAGAACACAAGCTAGTTACAGGGGAGAGGAATCTGGTTTGTCTCCCTGAATCCTTCCTCCTCTGTCTCTGTGGTTAGGGTATGATTTTGGCATGGGACAAAGTGCATATCCAGAAACACAAATTTGCATGTCCAGACAAAAAGTTCATGCACTTTATCATTCCCACTGAGAGTTCTTGTGGGTTTCTGGTGAAATAACAGATTCCCCTCTGTCCAAGAATATTCTGGTCAGGGCTTAATGTCTCAGTCTCCATTATCATTAAGATTGATTTCTTTCACACAACAGCTACTACTTCATTTCTTGCCTAAAAGGTTGCTGACAGCCAGGTCCTCACAAAGGAATAAGGCTTGGTCTTGTTTTGAAAATAAAAATTATTCCAAGGCTTATATATGAAGACAGAACTCCTCCCTTTCAGCTCTTCCACATGCTTAGTCTTAAGAATTTATGTCCCACCTCTCCCTCCGAGTTGGATAACTACTTTAAAGGTAATCTTGAGGTATTTCTCACCAGGTGTGGTGTCTCTCCCTCTGCTCCTTGTCCTGCTGGATGCACAGACACAGACTGTGCACAGATACTGGAGGTTTTCCTTAGATTTTCCTTAGAATCATTTTCTAAGATGGAGAAGATTAAACAGAACATTTTAGGACTGAAAAGATAAATCTTCCACTGTACATATTTCAACACTCAAAAAAACAGTAAAAGGCGTGAGGTGGAGGATGGTTTCCACATCACTGAGAAACCATCATTTTGTAGAGCTGGGCCAAGCAGGGTTCCAGTTTCACAGACTGGTGGTTATTAAAGCTGTACTCTATTTTTTTCTCTGTTCTTTTACTGGCGGCAAGATCCAGATAATAAAAGGCTGAATGTGTCATCACCCCAGGCAAGCCATTCACTAGCATCTCCTCCACTCTGGGATACATAAGTGAAAGAGAAGATGTATTTTTGTACAGTGGTACACTACAGCTAGTTTATTCACTTCTGAGGTCATTGTGTCTTCTCCAGAGAACTTTACTGTTTCAGTGGACACATCAAGGATGCAGAATACAAGCATAATAGAAGCAATGAAACACTTCTTTGAATACAACTGCCTGAAATCATCAAACCCATAACTCTATGCAAGGAAATAAATCACAGTACCCCTTTTACAAGTTACAAAGATGTGTTTAAATGGCAATTGTCAGGGCAACAAGATCTGTAAGACATGCTCGTTTCCTACTTATTAAGGTGGACAAAATAATAACACTAGTACTAAAAAGCCATTCCCTTGACACAGGCCATGCTTACACTAGCCACCTTGGCAATTTTCTTCTGCTCTTTTAGAGAGACAAGCACAGGTCAGTAGCACTAAGACATGCTGGGGAAACTAACTGGTACCTCTGCAGAGAACTGCATGGGCTGTACAGATGTGCCTAAGGAAACACATGTCCTGAGTCATCCAAAAGGAGGTTCTGGGGAAAAATCTAATAGGTCTCAGTTGTTGGTGGTTAATGCATCCTGTTTCCCAAAGAGTAAGGCCCAGCTGTGTTGTCACAAGTCACCATCTCAGTTGCAACATCCCAGATATACTGAAGTCCTTGAAAGTTCACATCTGGTACAGAAAGCTAATGGTTACACTTTAGCCAAGTACCTGGTCTCCAGGTTCTTTTCCTTTGATTAAGAGCAAAGAGCCTGGCCAACAGGAAATAAAGCTGACAAGTTTCCCCAAGGCAACTGTAACTTTCAGTCCCTTTCAGTGACTAAAAAACTATCCTGGTCCAAAAACCAGCACTGTACTGTTTCCTGAAGAGAAAAATTGCATTTTAAGCAAAGTGGAGGGAAAAGCAGACCATTTACAAGGCATAGAATGTATTTCAAGGAGATACAAGTAGGTATGATGGGATAATGAAATAGCAAAAAACTTCAGAAACCACAGACACCAAGAGCTGCTCTGCCCATCCTAGGATAGTGCAAGGTCTGTCTCTTACCTCTGGATTCCGGAGCTGCCAAGGATGGAGCCACAAAAAGCACAACCTCCCCCCAGCTCTACTCTTAAACAGCAGATTAAATAATTTACCTTTTTTGTTTTCTTCATAGGTATCAATTTTTTTCTTTACGTCAGCTCTAAATCCCTTTAAAATATCTTTCAGCACTGACAGGTCATCTTCTTTAATTATCTCATTTCTTTCCATTTCCAGTAAGACCTGCAACATAGACTGGTAAAACAAAAACACATAACCCAAACTCATACAGTGACCTTCAATAACTGCTGTATCAGGCACCTCTGAATAGAGCAGAAGACACATCCTCATAGACATTCCCATAGACAGACCAGCTAAAGACCAATTTATTTTTTCTCCAAACCTCATTGAAACAAAGGCCAGGTTGCAACGCAACTGAAGAAACAGATCACTAAGGTGAAGACAGGATTATTAGAAGTTGCTTATGGCTAGGTTATCCTGCTGTGTTGCAAAGCACTGATGTGGATAATATCATGCCATCCTGTTCTGCCTCTGTTCAGATGAAGAGCAGTTAAGTCATTTACTGTGCTATTCTACATTTTCTATTACAGAAAAGGCATTCAGGGCTAATTTTGTTTTTTAAAGCTCAATAGTCCACCAAGTTGGAGGTAAATCTGCTAATTCTCCTATAAGAGAATCTCCAATACAAATAGGATTTTAAAGGAAGTTTCTTAATAATATCAAGTGTTCGTTTAATACCAACACTGTTCATTATTTGCAAGTATTAAACTAGCTCATCAAACCTCTTCATACTTTTATTGGGAAGTTAACAAAATGCTGCTACCCCAAAACACAATAAAGAAGAAAACGTACCCAATGACACATAAAAATTTGTGGTTGAACTCACACTGGGATTCAATTTTCTGTTTCCAAAACATTGTTTCTCCTCCAGCAAACATCACTCTTCCTAGGTATAGCATATGTACAAATGTCTTATAAATGCCAAGCAAAGAAGAAAGATACAGCATGATGGATTTGCAAGAAGGAAAGATTAAGGAGACAGATAGTGGAAGCAAAATAGGAACAGGAGAAGAAAAAAGGGCAAAAATACAATAAGATAAAAAAGGGTCCCTTCTTTCACACAGCAGCTATCAGCTACCATCACAATTGTTTCAACAACAGGTTTTAGTGAGAGCAGATTGTTTTCTCTTTCCTCCCTTCTTACAAGAACTAGCAGACTCTGAACTAGCCTTGCAAAAAACTTATCGAGGTCACTTTGCATACAGCATCATCCTGGAGCTTGTTCTTTGGCATTCGATCTTTAAGCAGGAACTTCACTTTTTTGACATCATCTGGAGCCAAGTCTTCTGCTATTCTGTATAGCAGTTCCCTGGCAATAAAAATAGAGAAAGACTGATTAAGAAAGTTATGAGAAATAAACACCAAAATTACACATTTGAACTGCAAAACATAACACTCACAATGGCAGATAGTCATGCTGGAATAAATGCAATGATGCAGTGATATTCATAAGGCAACAGTGCAGACAGAAAACTAAACAGTCCACAACAGAACTGTTGTACATTTTGTATGCAAAAGTTTACTACTTCTGTGCTTACCTGTAGGCAGACACCTTTGCCCTGCCCGGGATCTGAAGCTCTCTCGCCATCTCCTCTCGGCTGGAGCCCAGATGGGCAGCCAGGAGGTCGATCCGACTGATCCGGTAGAGCAGCTCCTTCAGGAAGGAGAGGTTCCCCACCTCAATCATGCCTTTCTCCTGAAGTGCTTTGAAGAAGGCCTTGGGCTCCTGGATGGCTTCCAGCTTCCCCATGGGGATGTGCTCCAGGCTAAGGAATTTCAGAGCTGCCAGTTCATCTGTGACCAAAGCCTCAGAAATATGAAAAAGGAGTTTCTGGAAGTCTGTACTCATTTCACATCAGAATTTGTATCTAAACACAAACAGAAGTTGATTTCATTTGCCAGTTACAATAGTGCAACGACATGATTATAAAAGGTATTGCATCATGAGGACAGCCCAAAATAAATACATGCAATCAAAAGTACTTCAGCAGAGCCTCCTTCAGTTCTCTCGATTTAATATAGAAAACTCCGTACTACCTGAAATCAACAGAGAAAATCATGGATCTTTCTTGCTTCCTATGGTGTGTCTAGCCAGTGGGAAGCATTGATCTACAGGATGTACAATTCTGGCAGGCTGCTGCTGTTTTGGTTGGGTTTGGAGATATTTTTTTTTGAGGTTTGAACCCATTTAGGAATAACCAGTCTGAAATACAGACTATGTAGTAAATGAGACCTCTAGGTTTTTACACCATAACAAAGATACAGGTTTTACATCATCACAAAGATAAGAGTTCACATGAGTATAACTCTTCTAAGCTACCTGGCTTCTCATTTTTATACACTGCTTCTGACCTGGTCAGCACAGCCAAAGCATCTCTTCCTGTTTTGGATTATCTGCATCAAGTAAAACTAAGTTCCCAGCTCTCAATCAATTTGTAATATTAAAATCAAATACAAATCATGTCAACGCTTTTTAAAAGGCCAGGAGAATTCTTGTCAAACTAGTTCTGTTTCACTGAGCATCAAATACCACCTACTTTCTCCACCGCTTCCTCCATCAGCTTTAGAAATATGAAATTTGGCTTATGGATCCAACTTTTGAGTACAAGAGAAAGTTAGAAAATACTAAGTGCAAGTCTTCCAACTATCTCACCCTGACACTTAAAAGACCTGCCTCCAGCGCCTCTCTGGTGGGAAAAAATAAATAGAAACTTCCTACTCCTACACTGCTGGAATATTAGGCAATCTGTTTTAATCTTACTGCTACTGCAAATCTTTCAACACCAGGGCTAATAACTCCAGGGTAGCCCATCTGACTAACTGAATTAGTACTACTGTAAATATTCAAAAGAAAAAACCAAAACTCATTAGCAGACAATTGCACTCCCCTGTCTTCCAAAGACCACTCTATAGCAAAGCAGGTTTCTGTGACATGCCCTTGGTCAGCATTCTGTTAGTTAGCAAAAGTGAACATCCAACTGAATCTTAAACCTTCTTAAACCTCTATCCAAAAAAAATGATAAAACAGCAAAACATGCCTTTTGATGCAGCATATACAATTCATGCTCTACACCCAAACACTGTTTTCTTTACATCTATTAAAACTGAACTTTTAAACAGACATTTAGCTCATATCACCACAAAACCACCAGTATCCGAATGAATCATATGTGCTTAACCTCATTATTCAACAAGCTCAGATTTGACTGTATATTTTTATACAAGAATATGTAAGAAAAGAGAAGAATATTTTCTTGGTAGCTAGTTATGAAGTTATCTTCTCTCTCACATAAATTATGCCTTTTCTTTAAGATACGAGGTATGTGCTTATAAAAGTATGTCTTTCTGATTTTTATTTCTCAAAGGCTGTAAGTTTCAAACCCACAAAATTATTCCAACTTCAACAGATGTGCCACCAAACACTACATTTAAGCCTGTCTGTAAATACAGGAAGCACACTAAAACAATGTTTAACTGTTTCTTTTTCTCCCACTTTACTAAATTAAAGACACAATTGATACAAGCAGCAAACTATTTATAATAATATTTTCTAATAAATCCATAAATAATAATAACAATAATTTTACACCACCAGGCTCAGGGACTGATGGGACAACTCTGAAAAAAGTGAGACAGCCATAGTTTCTAAAGTTCTAGGAAAAGAACTTTTGTACTATGGTCCGTACTGTCACATGACTTACAAGAAGTATGTTAGAACAAAGCAGTAAGCTGTGGTCATAACGCAGCAGTTCCCTACCCCACCTATCATGGTTCCAATTTCAGAACACTAATTATTACAGTGCTTGTGAGAAAAACTGGTGAACAAGCCAGAAAACTAATCAGGTTTTGCTTCTGTTTTAAGGGGACACACTAAGCAGCATGGCCAGGACTTCCGAGCATACAGCATAGCTCAGTTTATTTGTTTCCATACAATGAAGGAAGGGTGAATCAATTATAACTTCCCATTTAAAAATATTTCAGTGCCACTGTCCTGCTGCGTCACCAGACCATCCATGACTTCACGTTCTTTCTCTGAAGTCCTTCTCCAACTCACCAGATCTTCCACAACTTACCTGTTTTCTCCGAAGTCCCTCCCCAACTCACCCTAGTACTTTTAACATGCATTTCCATTGAAGATTATTTCCAAAATTAAAAAAGTCAACTATCAGCACCTAATTCAGTAGCAGTACTAAGTGAATACTGGGAACAAAACAGCTAAACATTCATCTGAGATTATTTATGTAATATACTTCTCCATTTGCAAGAAAACTTAAACATTAATTAACTTTCAGTATTTTCATCCTCTTTGAAGTATGGAACTCTGCCTCTAATGGTAAGGTTTCCAGTATGATCTGCTGGTCACCGTATCTTCCTTGCTGATCACATATTTCCTGCTGCAATCAGTACAGCCACCACACTCTCTGAAGCTTGTGAAGTTATGAAGAGAGACAGGAGAGCTGAAGTTAGTTAAAATTTTACAGTGCAAACAATCATTCATTGATTTCAACCTATCTAACTTTATAAACTCAAAATTATAACATACCCCTTGATAGAATGAGACATACGAATTCCTTTCAAAAGGCCCGCCAGAAAAAGTTCAGAAAATCTGACTTGTTTCACTGGAGCTAGTTGTCCTTATATCCAAAGGCTGGGAGAGCAGAGAGGGACAGGACAAGCGCCATCTGATCTTCAGGTCCAAAATGGTTCTGTCTCCGTGATACCCCACGCCTCAACGCCTCTCTCCCTGCATCAGTTCCTCTGTCTTAACTGAATCACGACTCCAGTCACATTTTGAAAGAGGAAGCGCTCTGAAAAATATTCGCAGACAACACCAAGTCCAGGTTGGCTCTTTCCAGAGAGAGGCGTCTCCCATCATGCAGCAGTCTCAAGGTCCAGCCCTCCTGGCACTGTTCTTCCTCTTTGTCTTTACTGTTTCACTTCTTATTTCTTCCTCTCTCGCCCTTCCCCAAAATGTTCCTGTCCTTTTGTTAACTTACAGTCTCTTCCAATTTCCCTCAACTCCCCTGCATCCTGGTTTTGTTCCTCTGGCTTCCTCTGGAACTGCCTGAGTACCCAATCTATTCCTTGTACAGCAGCCTGCCAAAATCTCACCTCTTCCAGAAAGGCTGGTAGGCTGGTCTTGGGGAAGTGAAAATGCTGAGGCTACTGACTACACAGGAACTGTAGTGACTGTGGCCTCTACTGGCAAAACAGGATACACAGCTCCTGCACAAAACCTGACAACTGGGAGGCATGGGATACCAGTGACTTGTTGTTACAAATCCCACTTTAAGATCATGACTTCCCAAGACTTCCTCTTTTTACATTGGTTCCACTTATATCTCTCTAAACAAGGTGTTCTGGTTCTGGTGGGGATAGGGTTAATTTTCACAAGGACCTGGGACAGGACACGGGCTCAGGCTTAGAGCACAGGAATCTCCCCTGGATTTTCCGCATTCTCACCTGGGAGCAGGCTGGGCTTTCCGGGATCTGGTCGGTGAGAGGCTGTACATTAAGCATGTTTGTATATTCCTTTATCAGTACTATTGCTGGTGTTCTCCTCTTTCCTTTCCTGTTCTGTTAAGCTGCCTTTATCTCAACCCACAAGTTTTGCCTTTTTCTTCCAATTCTCCCCTGGCCCCACTGCGGGGCAGGGGGCAGCGAGCAAACTGCGCATGGTTTTTTGCTGCCAGCTGGGGCTAAACCACAACACAAAGGTTGCACAGGTCACAACCCTTCTTTAATTCTGTAGGTGGAAAGCATGCAAATGTGCATATGATGCCATATGCCATCATTAAGCCTCAACAGAAACCGACCACATTTTGTTTGTTTGTTTGTTTGTTTCAGGCTGACTTCTGGCACAGCTCTATTACTAGACTTAGGCTGAAGGTGTACAGTGTGAACAGCAAGGAGCTATGAATACTTAAGTTGTATAAAAACCAACCACTCTGCCTCGTGACTTTCAAACTGTTATTTTACAATATACCGCAGGAAATCACACAAGAAACATACCGCAGATCATGCAGAAATGTCCAACAACCTTGCTGAATGGCAGCTGCAGCTAAAGTGCTAAGCCTACCCTGCCTTTGGGTAGTGCTGACAGAGTACCACTGCACGCACCCTAGAGTGTGCAGACACAGAAACACAACCCTCAACATGCACAAGCAGAATAGTCACACTGAACAGCACAAATCATGGTAGAGGAAACCATGTTTCAACAAACCTTATGAGCGAGGGAAAATTTACCAATCCTTTGTACTTCACAAATGTGGACCTCTCTCCCCAAGGAACTCAAGGCAGAAGTCAGCTAAGACTCTTCTGACTGCCTTTACCTACCTATGATTTAACTGGAGATTACCCAGGCAGAAGTCTCTACAGAGAAAGCAAGATAACATGATGTTCTCTGTCTACCAAACCTAAATGAAAACAAGATCCCACAAAACAAGGTCAAAATTGTTGTCAGTGTTTACTCCGTACTGATAAAAACTCAATTATTAGCTAAACATAGAAAACAAGAGTGCACCAGGTCTGAACACTAATTGTGAACCAGAAACTTCATGATTCTATTACAATATGTTATATATTCTACTCACAAACAAAACATTTTCTATGTGTGGCACAAACGTGACTTCAAGTGTGGCAGCCATACTAACTCAGGAGACTCAAAACGCGATGGGTCACACAATTATCAATTCATCATGATAAAAAGTGACCATTATATTTGACCAGTTTTGGCAAACTGGCTGCATTTCAATGCTCTACATAACAGAAAACTCCCTCCTAGAAATCCTGGACAGTGCAAGATAAAAATTGCATCCAAGAGCACTAGACAGTACTCTTTCAAATCTTCACCCTAACTTATGGCTAGTAATCATATATAACAATCAGTGTTTTGCTGAAATCAATTAAGTTTCACTTCAGCTTAAACCCCAAGGCTGTTAAAACCCCACTGATTCATGCAGTTCAACAAAGTGCAGGGGCCAGTCAGAAACAAGGGTAAGACTTACCCCAGTACATAATTTTTATCTCACCAAGCTCTTAAAAAGAAGTACAAATTTAATGCAGTAACAAACAGGAAGGAGACAGACGTACATAGTAAATGCTCACAACAAAACGATATGACATTATTTCAGGTAAGTCACAAAATGCTGTTAGAAGCTTAATCAACAAGCAGCTTTGCTTCTCATACAGCTGTATTTTAGATCTTAAAAACAAGAAACAAAAATCAGAAAATGTAATGCTTAACAAAGTTAATCCGATAAACCTATACAGGTACATGGCTGAATGCCGTATTTCATACCATGCAGATCTTCTATGCTAAATTTTCTTCACAGAAGTAATGGGGAAATGACAGTTCACAATCCTTCACAGAGGGAATACTGTGAATACACAGCATTTTGGCTTTACTCAGTTTGAGAAAGATCTCATTGTACATGAGCTTCATGCTAGCCATTAGACAGTGACAGTGTGCACTGTGCAACAAATTACTGATTTCAATAATTAACTGGTTCTCCATTAAGTTAAATGTAATTTAAATTACAGATGGAAAAAATCCTTTTCCACTTCGTACTTAAGCGTTCCCTTCATTCCCAGCTTTGTCTTTCTCTGTGAACATAGATCGTGGATTTAGAGGCAGTATTTAAAACTGTTAGCCTGAAAAGTAAAACCCAATGAGCCTAAATCAGACCATTAACAATCCTGGTTTAGATACAGAAGGCTACATGCAACCCTTATGCTGTCAGAAAAACTTTTGTATCTGCAGTCTGTGCAGGTACAAAAATGTTTAACATGACAGAAGCCTGCTTCTCCCAGCTCTGATAACTCTGAATATATAGGTGATGTAAATAGCTGGCACGTGGATTGCTTTAATTGTGTCTCCTTCAGTTTCACAATTTGTTTGGCAATAAATTTATGAGGCCTTGCCTGGAAGCTAATAGTTCCTCAGGATTCTGGGTAATTGCCTTAAAACAGGTAGTACGGTGAATTGCATTTAAATGAGATGTGCTGATAAAAGGATGCATTTTAAAATCCTCGGTGTTGCTGTGAAGGAGGAGGCTTTTGAGGTATTGGGAATATAAATTTTCTTCTTAAGGTATATGCTGGTTGGGGCATCTGCTTCTTTGTCCCCAAGCGGTCAACACGTCTGCCCACATCTTCATTAACTTCCGTAAGAATCGACAAAATATCTTCACCCCTACAGCCAGAAGAAGAGCAAAAATAAAAAAAACCCAAACTTATATGAGCCGATGGCACTCCATTTAACACCTCCCAGATCATCTAGAAGATACAGTATAAACATTTATAATGCAAAAAACACATTCTTTTCTCCAAATTTGTTCTCACTCGAGTCACAAAAGACCTTTTCTTACTCTGTCTTGCTTGATTCAACCAGTAAAGGAAAATAATGGAATAAAATATTTTTACTTAAATGGACTCAAGAAACAGATGGCTCTGCCTTAAAGAACATAGATGGGAAGTTTTGAAGTTTTTTTACAATGAACTTCACTTTTTCCAGATTATGGTATTAGCAGTGTGAATGTAAATTTATCAACAGTGAGCAAACTAATAATCAGTTTAACTAATTTTGTTCACCTCAGAACACGGGTTAGTGTTCCTATGTGAATCTGCCTTTGGAGAAGTCAAAAAAACCCAGGAAGTTCCTCCCATTTTTTCATGGAAGAGCTAAGCAAAGTATTTACCTTGGTACCAACAACTGTAGCTTGCTGCACAGGGCCTGGATATACCAAGTACCCTGTTCAATGTGCCGGAAGGAGGCATATCCATCAATTGTGGCCATGCCTAGGAGGAAATCGGCCTCTTCAGGAATACTTTCAGAAGGAGAAATGCTCCGTTGTGTGAAAGACAAGTCAGGATTTCGTGCATCAGCTTCAACATAGACAGGACGCTGTATCTCTTTACCCTGACATGCTTGGATAAAGAAGAGTTTGGGTTTTTCAGCCAGTAGTGGACATTGACTGGCAGTGAAGTGGGACATGATCGTGCGAATTGATACAAGTTCCTCATCTTTCCCATAGATCGCTCCTGACTCTCCATGAGATAGAATACAACATATAAAACAGTCACTGTCTTTATGGTCTTGCCAACGCTGCCAAGTTTGCATGAGTTCTTTAATCTGCCAGGATGTCTGATCTGTGTAAACCTCGACAACCAGACCAAGCCATGTGAATACGCGTTCCAGTTCCTCTGTAATTAAGAGAAAGATAAAAAGAAAAACTGAGGCAGTAGAAAACCACTTTATGAAGTTACTATGCAAGCTAATCTGAACTAGGAAAGACCTTACATCCTGACACTTCCTCAGATTCATCCTTATACTAGGATCAACTAAAGGTTAACTGGAATAGAAAAAGATGGCATCAGCTCAAACACAGAATTCCTAGATTTTTCTGGACAAGTTTCAGAAAATACGATGACATTTTACTGTATAATGACACACTAAGTGAGCTCACAAATGACTCCTGAAAATATGAGGAATCCCCCCCGAGTTTCAGATTAGATCTTTTGAAACTTACCTCACATCATTATTTTCCAGTTGCGGTTTTGACTATTAGAGTTTCATAAACAAGAGAAAAATAGAAAGAACAGAATAAAATAAGAAATATGCACAGAGTTGAGCGATGACAGAAATTTGCATTAAATTATGTAGAATGATGATTTAGTTTAGTTTTAGTTCTTTATTACAGGTATAGATAAAGGCCAAGTAAGAGATTCCTAAAATGATTGAAGAATGATCCAACTGCCTCAGAAACAAAATGGTTACTCATCCTTTAACCCTTCTTCTCCAAGGATACGCAAATGACATAATTTAACACATTATCAAATGTTATTACTCTTTAAGAATATTAACTAACTAAAACATAGACAATAAAATACAGAGCAATACTAGACAATCAACTCACATGGGGAAACACAGAGACTAATCCTCCAAAAGTCTCACTTCAGTAACTTACCAGCATCTCTGCAAGAACCTTTCCTCTCCTGAAGGGACCCATCAAACTTAACATTATTAATAACAAGACAAAATCCTCTGCGAAGGCCATCCATTTTGTAGCTTGTGATCTTCTGTAGAAAGGAGAGGAAAAAAATCTTACAGCCTCAATGATTTTATTCAGCTTACTCATATTTTCTTAACATGTCTCAAAATATGCATCCAAAAATTAAAGGCACCTAAGACAGTGGGTTACTTTAGAAAAGCTGGAACTTAGTGGCACCCCCTTGTGTGAAAAGACTGGATGAAGCCTCAAGCACACTGTCACCAAATACCAAACTGTAGAGGAAAGGCTTAGCAGCTGGGTTGTATGCAAAAGAGAGGATTCAGCGGCCGAACTCTGCAATCTGAACTGATGATGGGGACAAAAGTCTCAAACTATTTCCAATGTCATGACAGTATTTTAACTTCAGATGGCAGGGGGTTCACAGTGAAACTATAGGATGTTAGACATCTGAGTCATTCTTTTCAAGAGTAGTGATGAATACCTAGAGCAGGTGGTTCATATTTATTCACTGGAAAGGGATTCAAGCAAAACAGAGATCTAAGAAGTACATAAATCTTCCACACTACCAGTTTTACTAGGACTTAAAAGTTATCTACCACTCTTAAGAAAAACGTTTTAAAAACTGAAAAGTCACCAAAACTTCAAGTACCTTCTCTTCAAGTCCAGTCTGGGGTTGAAATCAAAAACTCCCACCACTCTAGTTCCTTTCTGCTCTCTAGAGAGAGCAAGAAACTTGCTTTTGTGCATTTTAGTAGAACAAAACGAAGGCAGCACTCTAAGCTCCCTCCACAGCAGCAAGAAGTACTTTGGCTACATGAGTCTGAACATCAGGTGATGAAAAGATACATTATAGCACAGAATATCAAGAAATTAAATAGCTATAAACAAATGCAGTAACTTGCTCCCTCAATATCCATGCTCATCAGAAGTAAAAAGCCAGATGGAGAATTCAGTGGTCACACTAGGTTAAAGAGTGCTTGTAAGGCTTCTAAGAAGAGATCTCACAAAAGGGATCTTTTCTCCTGGACCAAGACCTCTGCTTATTGATGAATATTGTTACAGGCCTGCAATAGCTTACTAAAAACTCTTGCCTTCTTTTATCCTTCTCATGAGGTCTTTGCATGCTACCCCTTATTGCTTTTAATTTCAAGATGCCCTGAAGCTTTTTCTAAGCCAGATCCATAAAGAGAGAACTGTGAAGCTATATTGTGTCCATGTCTCGCACACTTTACTGCCATCTCCAAAATGCACAACTTGAGAAAATGCCAAACATTTTGCCTATATAAGGAAGATAAGCAGATGCACTGATGTGTGGATAACATCAAAGGTGCTATGCCTGTTTTGCCTCCAACACATCTTTCAATAGTAGTAAATTTCTGGCATCCCAGATTAAAATATTCTCTGAAACATTCCAGTTATCAGACAACTCAAAAAACTTTATGAGGCACACAGACATCTCACATGTCGTTGCATGATAAATGTCATTACAGGGAGGAAGACCTGCTACACCCAGGTAGTCAAAAAGAAGAATTGAAAAAGATTGTCTCAAACCTTGGATTCATTTTCCACATTGCTGAATTCTCCAGGCAGCTCCAGGTTCATTTCAGAGAAACCTTGTGTAAGATTAGCTGCTTTGTTGTCTAGGAAAAAAACCAGCATAGATATTTATGAAGAGAAATCCAACATTGGTGGACATAGCAAAAAGGAGTTTAGCTACAATATAGCCCTTTTTTGTATCTGAAATACTGTTTTACTGAAAGGAATAATTCCTCTGTATGAGATAGCATTGTCATGTTCAAAGGTTATATTACAAACATGTCTCCAGCTACTTTTGTTATATATATATATATATATACACATTTGTGACAAAAGCAAGGTTTCTACTTGTATTGGTATTGTGGAACAAAGATATCAATGGTACAAGGACAGATTCTACCCGGGACATTCAAATGAATTTTTTATTTGGAAATCAGCTCAGAAAGAAACTGTTCTGTAAGATCTGCAGTGTTACTACTGAACCTCCCATTACAGACCTTTTTGTTTTGTTCCGGAATCACTGATAATAACTCTCACACCAACTTTCAGAGCAAGGCTGCATTGACAGAGCTTGAAAGTGGAAAAGAGTTGACAAATACTGTACTGCTATACTTTGCAACTGGTCAATTTGATGTGGAGTCACAAGGATGGATGCAAACTACCCACTGTTATTTGTACAGAGTCTTTTCAGAGATCTGATCCACAATGTAACTTTATTTATTCCTGATTTACTTCTCCTTCTGAATTCCCTAAAATGCTTGTCTCCTTTTGTACAAATCACATGCTATTTAATGCATTCAAAACATTAATCTCTACCATGCAACACTCCCAGACTCTTCAACCTATAGATCATTATGATCTATACAGCAAAAGAAGTCAGAGAGAAAATCCTACACACAAAAAATTAATATCTCAATTTTATAAACAGTCATAACATTCCATTCTTTTGTCCTCCCAGGGATATATAAAGAGAAAACTTGTTTTCCTTTTTCAAGCAAGAAATCGTCTTTTTGCTTCTAATCAGACTGGCCCTTATTTCAATACCCAGAAAGCACTTTAGTTAGTTTCTACTAAATGACTGACAAAGTATACACAGGATTTGCCTATTTTCTCTCACCTCTTTTACTTAAGAATAGAAATCCTTCTAATCCATTTGTGCAGAAAGCAAAAGACCCTTCCAAGAAGATAGCAAGGTAAGTGTGTTGCTTGAAATGCAACAAATGCTTGAAATTTTCCAGAGGAAATAAAGGAATGCACTATTAAACATAAAGGTAATAAAAACCTAACATATTTTCAGAAATTCTTACCATTGATATTAGAACCGACAGATTTGATCGAGGTCTCCTATTTTTTGAGAGGGAGGGATACCATGTTAAAAATCATTATTATGTGTAGTAAGTTTTCATAGTGATTTTAGCAAAATAGACTTAATACAAAGCTCATTAAGTAGTGAGCAGGAAAAATACTAAATTGCTAAGAGCAGTAGAGCATTTAATAATTAAATTACAAAAGACATCCCCACTTACAGCAAATCTCACAGAGCTGGAAAAAACTGTATTTTCTCTTAAGGATAAATGGAAACAGCAAAGAGTTTTCTTTCACTTCCAAATGATCCTCTCACTATAGGGTAGGCAGTCACTACAAACAAAATAAAGGTCCCAACACAGTCCCATAACAGTTCTCTTGGATAGTCAATTATTTGAGTTATAAATCATTATAGTTAGTTATTCTAGTCCTGCCTAAGTAACATCTTCTAGTACTTACTAGTGTCAATGGTTTATTATACAGCATGGAAAAAGTGTAAAACCTCTCATCCTTTTAAAGAAAAACCAAACATGATCATCAGGATTATGGAAACAGTCTCTTGGTCTAATTTTATGCAATTATTTTAAATCTGTATTTTCTTAATAAGACTACATTAATTTTCTTACTCTGCCAAGTGCCATGCAGGAAGGCTTCCCCAAACCCTCTACACATGTAGAGCAAGTATAGCTCAAGGCAGCAGTGATGTAAGCCCTTCTGATACTAAATAGCTCATTTGTCTCAGCTCTTGTCTACTACGACTTAACTTTTGGGAGTATCCCTAGAGAGATCACTGGTTTTCCTCACTCAGAACTGGGTTAGAACTCCCTCCCTTCCTCTTTTCTTCCTCAAAAAAAGAGACCAGTTATAGCCCTGATAAGTTTCCCAATCTGATTCATCATGAAGCTACAAGAGGGTTTTAACTGATCAGGGACCGGTACATTGAGAAAATGGGACCACTTTCATTAGCAGCAGCAGTTTGACCATCAAAGTACAGTGTCAGCCGAAACTTTAAAAATCAGCGTTGACTGACCCATTCTCCAAAAAGCACCTGTCTAGCTTTTTCTCTAGCTTATCTCTCTTCCTAACACTAATTTCATTAATTTTTTCCCCAGTTCTACATGACCAATAGTAGTATTTTTTACTTCCACTGTTCGACACTATCTGCAGCTGTATTTCTTATATGCTGAACAATATGCTTGTTCCCTTCATAGATCAAGCAAGAAGACGTCGCAAAAAAAATCTCACAGCCAGTACGGTTTCAAAATAAAGGCAAGAAAATAAAACAACCCCCTAAACCACTAAAACCCAAGTTCGCAATATGTGCTCCAATGTACCTGTGGGGAGGTGAATACTGTCACGTGTGCAGTGTGAAACAGTGAAGATTCCTTAATTGGCAGAGTGCTCTCCTGCTGCGGCAGAGACACTAAAGCAGAAAGAGAAAAAATGAGAGACAAAACGCATTTTAGTTAAACCAGTATGAATCTGCACATTAGGCAAATGCGGACCTATACTTAATGAAAGATACATTAAAATAGAAAGCAACTTTGAAATACTCAGAAAGCACAGGGGAAGGGAACTCATGAAATGCTGAGTGCCCTTGCATCTACTGGGGACACACAGCTTTCGTACTTCCCAGTGCTTAAATAAATTAAAACAGAGCTTTTTTCCCAGTACGCTCATAGTCACCCCGCAAGATGTTAAATGAAGCAGTATTACAAACTGCAGTATAACCTCTGATAACATGAATCACACATTTAATAATAAAGCCTACCATCTATCAGGCACAAACATGCACACAGTTTGCCTCACCAGCTTATTAGCCAGCAGCTGCCTTGTTGTAGTGTACATTCATAAATCATAAAGTGCCTTTTACAGGACAATCATCATCATCTCAATACTATTCATGGAGAAATAGAGAAGTGTGCCACAACTATAAATATATGTTCAGTTTCCCAGGCTAACCTGTATGTGGTGAACTGCTCCATGGCCACAGATATTCCAGCACATCCCTACTGGAATTCAGCTACGAAGTAATGCAAACTATGGGCCATTATGCCAAATTTGTGTGTGAAGATGAGCGATCCCACTCTAGCTCCTATTCTAGCAATGTACACAGAGTACCTTGAGGTTCAGTTCCCCAGACCCTTCTAGTATTTCCTGCATATTAGCAAACCTACTTCCTGACTCTGAATTTCTCACCTTTTGCCCTTTTGTAGCAGTTTACTGTTTCCAGGAGATCAGGTGAAACATTCATACAGATGTCCTCCAGCATCTGTACATTGTTTTCAGTTAAAAGGCCCTGTTTTTCCAATAAAATCAGCAATTCCAGAGCAGACTGACAGCCAAAAGGAGAGAGAAAAAATTAGTTATTGTTCCTTGGAACTCAAAACCTACCTCAGCCCTGTCTGCCTCAACCAATCACATTATTATCTGCTTTGCTTCCTACCAACCAACAAAGTCCAAACAGTCAATTTTACATCACTGTTGGAGGTGGAAATGTTGCTCCATGGAAAGCTACTAGTTGCATAATTATTTAGTATGGCCTTGTTTAAACAGATTCACCCAAACCATATTAATGACTCTTGGCTTTATTGCTGTGAAATGGTAGCAATGACATATGGACACAAATCTCCTTTGTACGGGGCTCGAGCAGGGTGAAGATTTGATTTGCCATCCTTTTATGATCTATTGCAAGACTGTGAACTGTCAATGATTCACCTTGGCACAAAGCACCAAGTTCCACACTTAACTGTCAAGAGTTTCCTCCTCGGTAACACTACAAATACTGGCCAGCCTAGTAGCAGATTACACTCTATTCTGCCACTTTTCTCTTCACACTTTTCCTCCTATTCCCTCCCCTCCTTCTTCCCTTCCCACCATATATATGTTTGGCTCTCTCCTCACATACAAGACTTAACCGTCGCCTTGGAAGACAGTTTTGCAGGAGGAATATGATATCCTTCAACATGTCATCGGTAATGTTCTCTGACAATTCGTACAGCATCTGCCTGTAACAGAGACCCAGTGAGATAAAACTAGAATACAAGACAGTGTGGAAACTAAAAGCAATCTGAGAATTTAAAAATGGAAAGGGAAACGGTATGGCATAGATGGCAGTAATGGAGAGAACATAATCCCGCTGCAGCCTTACCTGTACGGAGACACTCTTCCCTTTTCGTGCAGACATTCTTGCACTCTCTCCTTGGTATAACCAAGCTTCTTGAGCAAGGAGTGACATTTCATTCTGTATAAGAGTTCAGCTAGTAGGAAAGTATCTTCCTCATTCAGATAGTCTTCAGCCATAAGAAGCTGAAAGATGTCCACTGCTGACTTCACATTCTCTAGTTTCTTGAAGGGGAGCAAGTCAGTACAGAGAAATTTTAGAGCTGCTACATCTTCAGCCACCAGATTTTCATCAATGAGCAGAAGCTGCTGACGGAACTTCAGGCTGGCATCATCCTCCATGTTGCTGGAACCAACAGTCTCTCGGTCTGAAAGTAGAAAGCAAACACTAGTAACACTTGAATCTTCAGTAAAGGATCCTTGTAATAATATTTCATCCAACGGCTCTTTGGAAGCCCTGCATTCTCTACAGAAGAGGAGTTTCCTTTTAAATAAATTTGAAACTTCCTTCCTTCTATGAACACAAGACTACAACAAAGATCTGATTTCACAGAAGCTCTGAACAACCCAGACTAAACTTGAAGTTAGCCCTGCTCTTAGCAGAAAACTGTGATTCTGTGAACTGGGCTAGATGACCTCAAGAGGTCCCTAAATTCTTCTGTTTCTTCCAAACATTTTCCATGTTCAGATCTTTGCTTCTCTCCATTGTTTGTAGGTGGGAAGAGTCCCTGCAGTAACTTATTACAACTCTCAGTGGAGTGAGGACAGTGGTTCACAGATGTTCCTCGATCTGCAGTCTGAGGGCCCATTCTCCTGTAGCAGGCAGTTGTTCCTCTGTTACAAGCCTTACACCCCAGCTGAGCTGTGGAATCCATCCACTCCCTGTCACGTGTTGCTATCAGACTGTGTTTTACATTTGGCACAGAAGAACCCTAAAGCCTCCCTTTTAAGTATCTGTCAACTAAAACATAACAGTGCTCTGTCTAATTAGGCTCTGCACAAGCAACTCAATCTTACTGAAGTTTAATAGACTAATCACCCTTGCACTACACCAACTTCTTCCATGTAACTTTGGCAGTTAATTTCTGCCTGTGGAAGACTATATAGGTAAAAAGATGCTTCTGTGCCTTCTACCCAAATGGGCAGGTAGGTCTTTAATCTTTTGTTTAGAGCAATTGGAAGCAGCAAATCTTTCTACATGAGGGAGCATAAGAAAAAATCAGAGAAGCAGAGTAGGGACAAAATCTCTGAACCCAAAGCCTTTGAAGACTCTGGGAAGACAGCTCAGCAGATAAACCACAGAAGGTATCATACCACATGGGGGCACAGAGAATAGACTTACATTTTTGTTTTCAGAAGCAGATAGAAAATATAATCCCCAAGTCCATATGCCCAATGTCCTGGTTTGAGGTAAAACAGAACCAAGTTTACGTTCAGTAATTTTACTTTTCAGTTAAGTCTCTTCTAGCTAACCGCACTCTCTGAAATTAAGGGCATATTTTTTCAGACAGTATCCACTTCTAGTGGAGATAAGGGCTGATGTTTGTAGTTAATGCCAAGGAACGGTATGTAGAGAGGCTCCTTGCTTATACTCCTTGCTATAACAATCAAGGTCAGCTAACTTTGTTATATGCCCAGTTGGAAGGTTAGAAGCAAACCAGTGTAGACGGGGTTGCACCTGCAGGGAGGAGGGGACAGGTGACCCAAAACTGACCAACAGGGTATTCTATTTCATCAACATTAAGCTCAGTATAAAAGCTGAGGGATCAAAGGAGTCAGCTCTTCCTTCAATGGCCGGTGTCCAAGGAGGACTTTGTTCATCTGCCTTTGATCCTCATCAGTTCATTCCTGAATCCAGATCCGGAATTCAGTTCCTGCCTGTCACGCACCAGTCTGGGACTTTCCCAGTGCCTGCTAGTGACATGATTGTCATCCTGGGAGCTCAATATTGGTTTTGTATATATCATATATATTTCATTATTTTCTTATTATCTTTTCATTATTTTATTAGTAGCATTTCATTAAAGTAGCCTAGTTTCTTTTAAACTCCTAAGTCTCTTTCTCTCTCATCCTTTTCTCCCTGAAAGGAGAGGTTGGGGAGCACATCTGTTGTTCATTTCAGTAGGCCCAAACCACAACACCCAGTTAGGAAATGAGGTCTGACAGAACCCAGGAACCCCGAGTTGTGTCCTGTCCCTAAGTCACAAGACTAAGCCTGTGCAAAAAAAAAAAAAAAAAAAAGGTCAGATTGTTTTTTCCTGTTTTCAAACTTCCTCTCCCATAGCTCAGTAATTGTCCTTCCAATTCCCTCTCTCCTCATATGAAATCCCATGTGCCGTGACACCCTCTTCACTTAAGCTATTATCAAAAAGGTTCAGATCTCAGTTATCTACACACAGAAATTGTATCACTTCACAGTAAATTAGACTTTAAATTCATTTAGCTAAAAGTTACTTTAAAATCCTAAAAAAAGCCGTGAAAAAAAAAAAAAAAAAAAAAGGTCAGATTGCTTTTTCCTGTATTCAAACTTCCTCTCCCATAGCTCAGTAATTGTCCTTCCAATTCCCTCTCTCCTCATATGAAATCCCATGTGCCGTGACACCCTCTTCACTTAAGCTATTATCAAAAAGGTTCAGATCTCAGTTATCTACACACAGAAATTGTATCACTTCACAGTAAATTAGACTTTAAATTCATTTAGCTAAAAGTTACTTTAAAATCCTATCTAGATGCTGCAATCAGCTAAATTTAGCAGAATAATTTAGGTTAAACTGATTCCTGCCTAAACTAACAAGCCTATATAATCCAGGTTCAAATTGAATTATGACAATTCAGAATTTAGAGCTAATGATTTCAATTAAATGAGTTAAAAAATCATCACTTTAAGAGAATGGAGCAAGTTGTGTGTACACCAGGTGAAGTCATCTCATCAGCAAATCAAACTGAAGATCCAGCACACGTTCTTTCATCTACTTTTAAAATAGTTTTCAAGTCTGTGTTACTGTGATTCCTGAAAAGCTTTTTTCACTCAAAAAATTTCCTTCTTGAGTTTGGGAATGCCCTCAAGACCTCCCCGCGTGCTGCATTCACTAGCTGCCTAACCTCACCTTCCCGCCTCCGGGCCAAGGGCCGGCTGGGATGGCCCTCTCTCCCGGCACTAAATAAAAGGAATTACTGGCTCCCCACCAACTCATCCGCTGCTCAGCGCACCGCTTCAGTGTTTTTAGAACCCCTTGCCACTTCGTGCATTTTACAGGCCATTTATAAAATACCATAGTAAAAAGCAGAGTCCTAAAACAAAGAAGAAAAATGAGCAAACAATCCCTATTCCAGTAAAACAAGACGATGCTGAACACCCAGCCCCAATACACACGGGGCCCAGGACCTACCTGCTCCCCAGGTTTGCCGCGGCTCACCCTAACGTTTACAGCTAGAGACGGCAGGGCATTAGCAGGCAGAACATCGACACACAGAAAGTTGATGGATCAGCGTCTCTAATTTACGTTTTGCTATATATCCTTAGAGAAGGAAAATCACATCAAATAAGCCACGAGGATTATCAAATTACTACTTCTTCCTTTGAAGTTTTATTCATTGTGACACTGCCAGACTAAGAGGCGCAAGAATAACGCGAAAACACGGAGCACGGAACAATGCCGAGGCCCAGCCTACAGCCCCACCAGCAAGGGCAGTCCCCAGCTCCGGCTCCGCCGCCAGCCCGCCGGCAGCCGCACCGCGCCGCACCGCAAGGAAGGACGGAGCGGGGTTTAGGCTCCGGACTCCAGAGCTCAAGCTTTCCTTCGTTCCCTCTCCATTTCAGTCCCCCCTCTCTTACCTCTTCGGCGAATTCCGACCCCGATCCCTCTCTCGGCAGCTACTCTCGGGGCGGCGCTCGGCGCTTCCCGGTTTATTTCCCCGCCAGCCGAGAGCCGGCGGTGCGCGCCCGCCTGCTGAGTCACCACCCCGCTCCTCCCCGCCGGAGCCGGAGGCGCTGCCAGCCCGAGGCCGTGCGGGAAGGAGGCGGCGGCATCCCCGACAGCGGGTGCGGAAAGCGGGATCAAGTCAATCCGGGAGAAGGGGTTTGTGGGCACGTCCGCGGAGCGCCGCACCGCTGCCGGCGGGCGGGTGGGCTCCCACGGCGAGCGGCGGCCGCGGGAACCTGCCGAGAGGCGGGAAACGGCGGCGCCGGACCGCCCTTCCCCTCCGGCCCAGCCCAGCGCTCGGCCTCGGGGCTTGCGAGCGTCCCACCCGCTCCCCCCCCGCCGAGGAACTTGGCTAAAATAGTCAGAAAAAAGCATCCGACGACCCTTCCAGGACGAAATACAAGAAGTGACCGGTAACTCCCTTCGGTTTTGTTGTCAAGCCATTTTAAAGCAGGCTACATCGCAAAAGAGCCCCAAACATTTCTAACGGACTTTTTGGCAAACATTGTTTTGGTCGGCAAATTTAACAAACCGTAGAGGTGTTAGAAGATGGGTCGACCAAGAATTCCAAGAGTTCATTCTCTGGTTTAGAGCGGGACAGGGACAATCAGTCTGGCCGCAATGCAGAAATTTTCTTAGAAAATCCACTTAAAACCCAGCAATTGTAATTTAGGTAATAATAGTGATTTAGTGGCAGCAGTAACAGCACCAATTTTGCTAAATCAAGATGCTATTTTAGCAACGGCACTGATTCAGATCACATTTCTTATGATGTTTCTACAAAACACTAAGAATACAGTCTCAGAGTAGCACAAATTTGAAAATATGGCATTTACAGAAAGGTACAATCCACCACAACAGAATTCCTAAAACATTTGCAATTCTAATACCAATTATACTAGAGAATTAATATCGATTCTAATACAGAAACTGAAAAAATTCTCCAAAACAGCCACAGAAAAGCTGCCAAATAATTTAGTACAGGAGATACAGTTCAAATGGAACATAGTCAGATCGGCAGCAGATCATACACACAGATGGCCACTTCTCAGCAACATCCTTCTGCATGTCAGAAATGTAGAACTATAGATAACAGAAAAGAATTACCAGAAACTGTCATAAAAAGCTTCTCTGACTCAGGTACCTGTGACAGAAGTCAGTCACTCTTAATTCTTATGCAGAGTTGAAGGGTGAATAAGACATACAGGATACTCCCATCTACAACTGTTAGCACCAGAACTTCCCCTTGAACCTAATTTCTTTCCTGGATAATGAGTTGGCAGCCATTGTAAGACACAAGTATGTCACAGTACAAAGTTAACTGGATTTATGACTTAGTCGTGTTAATGTAGGTGGCTGAGAGAATTAAGTCTGGTACAAAACACCACAGAATCTCCTGCCTCATGGGTAGACCACCTGAGCCACTGAAAGGCATCATCTATATTCTGCCAATTCTCTATTTCCTCTTCCATATACAGAAGTACATACAGAAGTACAGCAAATGTTTATTTCAGTTATCAGAAAGCAAAACTGAAATTCAATGTCATGGAGCAATGAGTCTGACAGCCTTGTTCCAAGCACTGACAACACAGGAGCAGAGGAGGAGTGGCTTGTTTTATCTTGTTCAACAGCAGGTTCTGAAAACTAGACATTTTGGCAGTTCCTGACCACGAAATTTCACCAGCATGTTACTTTTTATGTTCCTGTGCTAATACCCTAAACTCATAACGGATCCCGAATTAATTATTTCCACCCTTTTGGCAACTGAACAGAAGTTTAGTATCATTCAATCACTCTATTTGCAATACATGAACAACTTAATGCAACCCAGACGCTGCATCCAGTCATTTTCCAGATTCGAATTTTAGGTCCACAGTACAGCAAGAACAGACAGTTCCTATGACCTGTACAGAAGGACAAAAACAAAAACAACAAAAACACCTATCAGAGAAGTGACAAGACAACTTCTGGCATCACAAAATTCCTGCATGCTAATAAATACTGACTTCAATGCTACTTTTCACTATGCAGGGAATCAATCTACCCACACACCACTCTTCAAAGAGATGTCAAGGCAATAAATACTTGGATGAATGATTACAGAATTAAGTATTGCTACGGTTTAAGAATCTACTGAGGTTGAAGACATTAGCACAGAAAATTAGTACTGACATCCATGAATGCTGCACAACACAGGACATATCCCCACAACTCTTTGGTCGTTACAGGGCTGTGATCACTTTTGACCCAAGCAGCCAGACAAAAAGAGACTTTTTCACTGCAAGGGTTATTTCCAGGAGCCACTACAGCATTTCTTCATCATTTCTAAAGGGAGGGGACAAGGACTTCACTAAGGTGATGAACCTCATAACCCCCACACCAAATCTACATTGTCACAAAACTATCAGAAACAGAGTACATCCTATTGCTAATATTTTAAGTAAATAGTTGTATACAGCATCATTCAAAAAAACCTAAAACAACCCACAAAACCCCACCACAATCTGAGATCCTGTAAGGATAGCCACTATTATTCTTACTTCCTTTCTCCTCTTTTTTTCTTTGTCCTTCCAATACCAATGCTGTATTTCTTCTCCAAATCTCCTCTTCCCTACTTGTTCTTCTCTTGGTTCTCCCTACTGTTACCCTTCTTGTTCCTGCTTGAAATTTCCACATTTCTTTCCCTCATCTCTCTGTCTCCTCTTGATTCCACTCTCCCTGTTTTTGGTTGTCTGCAAGGCAGTAGAAGTACTCATCACGTGTAAAAGCTAGTAAGGGAAATAGGAAAAAGTGAAGTTAGTTTGTGAAAGAAATCATATTTATTAACATCACATGGATATATATGATAACTAGGAATCACATCTGATTTCTACAACTACAGAAAACATACTTATTTCACACCATTTGCGTCATTTACCAACACTACAGGAAGTAACTTCTAAGATTCCAAATCTTTTTACAATCATTTTATAATCCTTCTCTTACCCCACTGAACACAAGCAAGGTAGAGTTTCAAAATTACACTTGTGCTTTATTTTATTGTAAGATAGTCAGTTATTAAATATTTAGTTAGAAGTGAATGCTGGTTTTATTACCTATCACATATATACAAACCCTTCTGTTGATGGAATGCAATAAATTCTCTATGTGATCATGTGGAATGCATATAAACGTAATTTTAAGACACAAAGTATTTTTAAAGTCAGAAGCAATATGACATTAGTTTAACAAAAGGACCAGTTCAATAGGCCCTTTCTTAAAAAACAGTAAACTGAAAGGAAGGCCTGCCCGCTCCCTGCCCCACTATGATGCATTTATTTCCAAACCTATAATCATGAAATTTGATTTTGTATTTTTACTTTAATACTCATAGAGAACAAGCGTTTAGAGAATGTTGGAATTTTGCAAAATATCATTTTCTATTTTTGCTCTTATGCCTGTGCCTATATAAAATTACAGTAACACAAATAATGTACCTATAGTTTAACATAAAATTTTGGGTTGTATTTCCCAATTCAAAGCTATTAAAAAGTTTCCATATACTTTTATTAGAGAGGACACAACAGCTTATGAAATGGAAAGAGAAAAGTATGGGATGCAGAGGTTTGCAATATAGGTGAATCATTTTTCTAAATTGTGCAAAAGTTTCTTCTCATCACAACCACATATGTATCTTTCCAGAGTCAACACGCAAATAAAACTGAATACAAAATTAAAAAAAAGATAACAAGTGAAGAAATGAAGATTTAATCAATCATATAAAATGTACTTTATATATTATACAAAATGGTACATTAATATAAATAAATACATATTTTAACATTTACATTTTATATGGATAAAGAATATAAACTTGTTCAATGGGTTTCTCCTCTTGGTATACTTCTCCAGTTGGTATCCTCATCAATCAGCAGTTTAGGAACCTCTTACGCCAGGAAGAGACATCATATAACAAGGAAGGACTAATGAGCACTTTTTAGACTTTGATATCTACTCCTTTCCAAATGAAAGTGATTTTTACTTTCAGTTATAGAAGCCACATGAATTTTTTTTTTCCTCTGAATTAAGAAGCCTGGTTTCAAAGAAAAAAAGTTAATAACAATGATGTCGAGCCAACACCTAAGAAGTACAACATAATATCAAGGAATAAAAAGCCACTGCTACCGGAGTAAATTTACTGGCTAAGCCCTCCTAATTCTTATCAACATACTAACGTATACCTATAGTATACAATCTGTAGAATCAATATGCTAGTTGCCTGTTAGACTTGGTCTACAATGAAAAGCATTGTTGCTGAAGTTATATATGTGTAAGCACACCTGATTTTTACTCAAATCAAGTGCAACTACACTACCAAAAAATCTTGTTGCAGTATATTTGCATATAAAGATATCAACAATACCCTGTATCAGCAAAAATTCCTTTCCTTTCTGCTTGCATGAAATGCATGCTAGAAGGATGTATGGTGTAGCTACAGCAGAAACCAAGCAAGGTATGCCAAGGCCTTGAATTTTTTTCCTGGATAGGAGACTGTATTAGGAGTATTAAAAATTTGCAAGTGGCCTGAGTCAGGAGGGAACAGAATGCCATACATTCAGTGACAATAAATGCCAATACACCTCATCCAGGTTATACTGTTGTATAACAAGCATGTTAACTGAACTCTTCATGCTAGGCATCTGCTCCCCTGGAGAAAAATTTCTGTATTTAGGACAATTTTCACTTATGTCTTTTTCAGAAGAATGAGGGCAACTTGAAAAAAATAATAATCAATTAATAAAGACATACAATTTTTCATAAGCAAAAGCGGTGAGTGTGGCGTGTTAAATTTAATCCAGTTTTAGGAGCCAGTGGCTGCCACATGACACAGTTCAAATATCATAACGTGTACAACTGTGCCTGGTGCAACAAGTTTGAATCATGTTTCAGCTTCCACAAAACATCTGCCAAAATCGCACATTTTTTTAGCCGTGTGGTAGATTACTGGAATGCCTTGCCGCATGTAGATTCATTTTTCATTAGTGGAAAGCATAGCTCGCCCAAAACATAGCACTTTCTCATTTATTAACATATACCCTTTAGTGCTGACAACAGCACTGATGTCATGAGGGTGAATCACAACTTCTAATGCAGTAGATAGATGGAATCCAAATTATTTAAAAGACCATCTCTCCTACTGTTTCACTAGTCTGAGGAAGCACGCAAGCCAGAACCTGTTAATGAAGAACCAGCTTTGCTGGGCAGGCACTCCTTCCTGACACATTTTCCATTATGAGGTTCTGGGGAAAGTACACAGTGAATTTCAGTGTTTTGCACTGGCTTGTATTTGTTTTATGCATCAATAAAAAACCCTAGATCCGTGTACTACTAATAATCATGCTAAAAAAACACCAGTGAAACAAAACCACAAACCCATGTAAAAAACAGTAGCTATACAGTTTAGAGTTTTTTTACACTGTTTACCTTTTGTACTTGGTTCTAAGATCTGTCGCAGTGCTATACGATAGCTGCCATTCTCGTCCAATCTTTCAGAACGTTCTGTATTAAAATATAAAGTCTAGTGCCTTAACACACCAAAATGCTTCTAAATCCCTGGATTTGGAAGCGTGAGGAATTTTAGATATACATGCAATAACAATGCATAAAATAAAAGTGTTTGTCAAACTGTCTGAATCATAGTAAATGTTTCTTGTAAGACACTTCAGACGTGTCCTTTCCAACAGCAGTTAAGTGGGACAAAGAAAAAGTTTCTTCCTCAGTGTGTGCTCGAGCAGAAGTGAGTATTGTTGGCTTGGGTCAGTGGTCTTATTCCATTCATAGACTTTGTCATTCAGTTCCGTATGGATATCTAATATAGAGAGTTTCCTGCAGCAACAAAAGCAAAAGAGTTCTATTAGAGAATGAAGCAAGACACCATATAAGAATCCTCAAGACAGGACACAACTTTAGATTCAGCAAGGAGAAAATTTCAAATTTCAGACTTTATTGCAGAGATTATACCTCTAAAATCCAAGGCTGAATGTGCATTTTGGAAACAATCTGTTATAACCCAAATCACCATTGTGATACTGGTTATGCTGACACAATAAACTGTGATTTCATTACAAGGTTTTAGGGTTTGTAAAAAAGGTACTAAATGCTAACCACACAACTACTTTGTAAAACAGTTGCTAACTCTCTCTTAAGTCAATTGTGCAAAGAAAACCTTTGTAAATCCAAATGTCTCTGCTCAATTTCCTTTTGATAATCTCTCTAGATAGACTAAAGTTTTCTGACAGTTTAAACTCAAGATTACAATTGGCAGTCTAGTGGCTCCCTGAGCAGGAGGTTAATTAGATCTAAAGAAAGGACAAAATCCTTCCCTTTCAGCTGCCTTTTCCCTTAATTTTGGTACTGACTTCTTATATTTGCAAGCAGAGCCCTTTGTAATTATAAAAGGCAATCCTCAATTTGACAGAGCCTGGTGTGTGCCTAGTTTCCTCGGAGAAGGAATATTTCCAATCCTGCCTAAAACACTGACATACATTACCCAGGACAGGTTCTTACCTCCTCAGTCTGCCCCACTGCCATAAACCACTTTCATTTTACTGTCCAGAATCACAAACTTCACTCCTACTTTAGACCACCTTCCTGTGCCATTGTTCCAAGATCAGGTATACTTGTCCTTTAACTTATGACACAGCATGAAGACACTTTTCAGGACCAGATGGGATGAAACTTAAGGTTTCTCTTTCTCTAGGAAAGCAGGCTGTCACAGGAAAAGGGTTATTTTTTCCTCTTTGTTTTATTTACCTTTTATGAGGATTGCGGAGTAGCTCAGCCAGACAACGTAGATAATATGAGGATGAACTTGGAGATTTTTCTAGTGTAGACACATCCACCTTGCACTGACTCCAGAAGATGTCTGCTACCGAGGGGATAGTGACTTTGCAAGGGATTTTTGCATTACTAATGATTTTCTCATCATTCCCATCTACTTCCAACAGACTAGTACATTCTTGCTCATTTTCTGGCACAATGTAGCTCTGAATAAAAAAAAGCTTCGGTTTTCCTAGGAGTTCAGGACATGAGTCTGCTGTAAAGTATTTCTTTATTTGTTCCAAGGGGAATCCAGAAAAGGTATGGTCTGTACAGAAGATGCTCCGAGGACTTCCACGGCTGACCAATATGCAAATGAAGCTGTCACAATTTCTATGCTTCTGCAACCTTGCGACTTCAACCAACGTTTGATTCATAGTATTCACGTTTAAATATCTGTGACAACGAACGTCATAGCCTAAGTCTCTGAAGGTATCTTCCAACAAATCTAAAAAAATAAGATGTAATTAAATCACAGCACATCAAGGCTCAATCTCAACTATCTTGAATTACAGCATTTACAGTACTTTGCTAAAGGAAATATTTAAAATATTTACAAATAATATCGTGATGAAATATTTATTAAAAAATTGGGAGTACTTGATGCTGATCACAGTACATTACATACTTATAGTGCTAGATTAATGTTGTCTTTAATATAAGTTATGTACTTAATGACAGCAAAGACAAGTGATCCATTCCAAATTCCCCAGGTACTTTCATGCTTTCATTTAGAGTCAGTATCCCAAGTTCCTAGGACTTAAAAATATTGGGCAGGAGAAAACATTAGAAATGCTTCACACAGAACATTCTTGAAATGGTAAGGAGTGACCTGGATAGCATCAGATTCTTTCACCTTTTAACTTGTCAAAATTACTAGTAATGGTTATTCTACAGAACTGCATAGGAAACTTAGAGACACCCTTTCAACAGTCAAAAAGGAACCTACTGCAGGAATTTATGCTTCCTATTATATAAAACAGACTTTAAGCGATGAGTTCCAGGTGGAGAATGGACACTGGAATCTTAACTGTGACAGAATGGCATTTTCAGGGGAAAAGAAGCTGAACAATGAACCCTTCTAAATGTGTTAAAAATTAAAACTGTAGATAGCCAAAAATCAAGATTTAACTCTATTGTATTTGTGTTAAGCTGTGCTGCAGGAAAACGTGCTATGCTGTGAATAAATACTTTGGATGTTTATTAATACAGGAGTGAAACCAGATACATGGTGGTTAAAACCACAGGTATTTTTTAAGTATTCAGAGAACCACAAGCTACTACTATGACTCATAACTGTACCACCTTTAGTATAAACCACATATACATTGCCCATGCAGAGTTTCTGATATGACAGGAAATATCAAGTGTCACGTTTATGTAAAATGCCTTACAGACACTGGAAGCTAGACTGTTCTTTGACTTCAGAAGTCTGACAATCCCTAATTAGCAGAGGCTATTTCAGAGGTAACTGGAAGCAAAACAGGAGTTGTACCCCCACATTGCCCTCAAAAAACCCAGAACTTGTAACTTTCCTCAGGAGGGAAGGTACAATCTCTATACTATGGCAAGGTGATAAACTGTACCATGATAAACTATGGTTTCACTCCAGTTCTGTTTTGTAATATCATTCACAAACTTTCTGGGCATTATTTTATTTGGAAATAAAAAGGAAAATTCCCTCTATTTAGGCAATAAAACATGCTCTCAAAATTCAGGTGGAAGATTCAGTGTTAATATCGTTTAGCCATTATACACTCAATGAAGCACTTAATCCATTAGAGGGCAGCAGCACATAGGAAAAACAAGAGTTAAGGCAACAAGAGAGCTTACCCTATAATTAACTTACCTCACTAGCATGAACACATACACACAAAGATACAAAACTTGGCGTCACCTTAGACCATACACACATTCTAAGTGTCACAATTAAAAGAAAAACACAGCAAGCTTAGAGCTCATACTTTAGTTTAACACTGAATCAGAAATTATACATGGTAAGCTTTGGATACAGCAATTTTACTTTAAGGCAAGACAAAAACACAGCATTACATGCTGCAACCTGAGATCAGAAAACATCTGTTTCTTCAACAGTAATCACTCCCCAACAAACCTCCACTGATTTTTGAGCCTTTGCACTCTACATTAAAAATTAGCCTTTTATCCCTTTGATTGTTTACAATGTAAGGATAAAAATTTGTTTCCAAATGGAAAAGTGAAAAGCAGCTGTTTACAAAACAGCAAGAATATTTCAGTTTATATTTTATCAGCATCTGATGAATTCATATTGTTTATACTGGGTATTTTGAATTGTTGTTATCCTTGATCCTAGAGTATCTATTATTGGTTCAGCTTCCTCAGATTTAATCTTGGGATAGCCACAGACCCTAATGCACACCACAGATACAATTCCTAACGTTCTCCTTGCCCTCTTCTTTTTCTTTGGTATTTTCAGACTCCAGAAGTTGTGTGGGACAACAACTCTAGAGAGTACTGAATGTCTAACAGACTCCTTAAAGCAATGCCATATGCCCTGCCTCTCCTGAATCTCACTAGCACAGTAACATATTTCAGTGAAAGCCTTGCTTTCTATCATGTTAAAATGCTGTGATGCATTGGTGACATTAAACATTTGAGACATACACATGATTTAATTGCTTCTGCATCTAATGCAAACATTTGGCACAACAGTAAAGCCATGATTTGCAGGTGTACCTGATATGCAGATGCTAAACATGTAATCCATTTTTGTTCTTTCCAGTCAGCAGACTTCCTCTGTCACATTTATACTTTCTGTTCTTGTCCAAGTACTGAAATTGACCATATAAGCTTACGAAGAGCATGTGCATTGATCTTTTTTTTAATTTTGTGCACATCTTTGTATTTAGTAGCAATTGCTATGACAAAGGCGTCTGCACAGTGTATTGCCTGTGCAAAAGATCTGTGCCTCCTAAGGAAGACTGTGCTGACATGGCAGTTCCTTCTTTACTTCCTGTTTTCTCCAGTGTACATGCTTTACCTGCTTTTATACTTAACCATTTCATTTAAAGATCTCAAACCTGGCATAGGAAAACTTTCTTGTTCAATAAATCAGGTAAGCACATGCTATATCCCATTAGAGAAAATGAAATTTCACAAAGGTTTTTTTTGTAAACAAGGCTATTTCCACACTTTGTGTTTTCTTTAGCTCTCCACACCGAAAATTTCTCTAGTAATCCTTTATGCATTTACTTTTAAGAAACAGAACTCCAAGTAGTAAGTAATTATTTTGGTACTGGAGCAGACTATCACGGTACCTTCCAGATTAAGGGTGCATAATAAGTTTCTTGCATCAAAAGGGTCTTTTGCTCTCTAAAGCTATGATGAGAGAAGAGCAGGAAAGTAAAGAAGCAGGCAACAGGACAGAGCAGCATGTTTGATCCCAAGAGCTGTAACCCCCGAGTCTTTCAGTCCTTGGCAGACTGTCTTTTGTTTTATTTTCCTCTCAGGGCACAGTCAACATTTTTTTTGTGTTTGAGAGTAGAAATGAAGAAGTGCTTTAGATTGAACAATTTAATTTGTACATGCAGCAATTGAAACCTTGTTCTTTTTTTTTTGGCCCAGAGGTCACTGGTAGGACAGACTGAAATCAGATCCCAAGGATGCTTCCCAGTTGCATGTAACTAAGTTAAGTGCCTTCCTTGCCCCTCTTCTTCACACATGGCAGGATTGTCAATCAGTTCTAGTTCCTGTTATCCTAATGGCAAACCAAGTGTCTTATTTAAATCATTTCCCTAAAATACTATTGTCAAGCAACCATCAAAATTTTACTTTGTGCCTGTGCTCTGCATCCATTGCTCTTCAACAACTACATCAATAATTCTAAGTTGGTCCATCTGCTGGACCATTAGTTATGAGTAATAGAAAAGATATGCCCACAAACCCTCTTCTTCCCCTACATCTCCTAGTCCATTACAGAACTGACTGCAATCACTCTCTTAATTTTTATTTTTAGCCTCGTGTGTTCTGATGATTAGAATAGTGGGGGTTTTTTTGCTTATGCAAAAATCTAATTTTTTGATTCTAGGAAGGCAATCAGGAAAAACCCGCATTTTAACCATGTCACTGACTGTGTTGAATTTTACATGCAAATTTATTAATTTTTTTTTAAACAAAACCAAGAGGGAGGGAAGAAAAACTCCTTTCCCCTTAAAGCTATGGTGATAGTTTCAGTTACATTGTGCGAGATATAACAGAAGCCTAGGTGCATTATTAATAAAGGACCACGTGCCTTCAGCTATTCAAAATCTGTGGTGTCTGATATGACTACACGGCAAATCCACAACAGTTTTGGTTTTGTTAACTGGTGGGAAACACTATCTTTACCATCTCTGCCAATAACCTGTTGTATGACTGTAGCTTAACTATTTTGTTGGTCTCTGAACATCCTTTTTCTCCCTCCCAAAATTCGGTCTATCCCCTCGTAAGTTCTTTCATTCAGAGATTCTGCACCAAAAAACCCACAAAACCCCCCATTGTTTGCAATAATTAGGACAGGTGATTTAATCTCAGGTTGGGCCTTTCAACTCTCTGCTTTAGAAAATTTACTAGAATTGATAGCTTGATAGGCTAGCTGACTAGGACAACATTACCCTAGTCTGGCTGGTAAATGTGTATTATAATCTTTATACTAAATTGTTCTAATTATCCAAGATTAACAAGATAAGAAACTTCAAATTCCAGAGACTTACCTGTGTCATTGCCAATACAGTCTATTATCAGGCATATTCCTAAAGGTTGACTTTGCATTCTGTATTGATCATCATACACCTGAGGAATGTGAAGGACAAATACTATGTTAGTAAGTCACTCTCTCAGCGCACAGACTTGATTCTTTTCTCAAATTCACCTCAGATCTATACAATTACATTCTGTTGTTTTTCCCCAGAGTAGCTAGCAGAAGTCCATCTACTGGTATGTAATGTATCTTATCTACGTAACAAAAAACCAAAAAACCATGACATATAGAGTAGTACTTTTTTCCCCTGATTTCTAATACAGGCTTAATTTTTGGTCCTTGTGCAATCTTACTACCATAATGATCCTTAAACAATGACTAGGACTGTACCAGAAATAAGAGAAGCAGGTTTGAGACCAAACCTCAACTCTGAACAGATCTTCAAATGTAAAAAAAACCACAAAAACCAAACCAAACCTACAAAAGCCAAACCCATATGGGGTGGAGAGGCTTTTTAAAGACCTGGACTATGCAAGCAATGATCCTTTTTATAGCACTTCCAAATTAATTTCCTTAAGCGTAACTCCTTTTGAGCTGTTAGGAGCTATAAGCTTCATATTGCCAGCACAATAGATGTAGAGAACTTCTGTGTTCTTCAGGTACACAAGCAGGCACTGCTCATCAGAGCAATATTTCTTTCCTTATTTAGTGGTACAACCTCCTTGTTCCTAAATAATCTGTAATAACTCTATCACAATTCCTCTCCTTTTAAAAAAATTATAAACAATTTGTTATAGGTAACTCCCTGGTTCCTGGCCTACAGGACAGCTAGCAAAAATAGAGTAGTCCATTCTTATCATTAATACCCGAAGTGTGGCTATCTTCTACCTGGAGAGTGAGGGACAGGGAGAGAATAAAGAACAAAATTTACTGCATGCAAGAAGCCCTGTAGTTTCCAATGCAGATCGGAAGTTCTGACTTCCAACAGATTTTGACTTAGCCTCCACTAATAAATATGTGAGTTCTGTGTTTCACATCATATGTACATGCATTTTGCACACCGCTGCTTCCATTTTATATTAAAAATATATTCTGCAAAAGCAGTTCATAGAACCTGTTTATGGCTGAGGAAAATATGGATGTACACATCCTTCAGTTTGCATTCAATTGAAGGAACTCTCAAAACACAAAGAAACCTAAGCTAAATACCTGCAGAGGTTTTTATTTTATTTACATGTATACATATGTACAAGCACAAACCTTATGTGACACTGGTCCTGATTCCTGGATGGACACGTGGACTGGTTCCGCTGCAGTTGAAACATACACAAATAATCTCAGTATGTGGGTACCAATGACATTTCTTTGACACCAAACTGGTTATAAAGAGACATCTATCTAGTTCAGCCAAGTTCTCACTCATCTGGACCTATTGGTTTCTACGTGTGCTACTGAAGTTGAAATAAACCCAGACACCCCCCACAAAATTTTTACCTCTGAAATGTTGTTTGGATTGCATTCTACATTTCTTGTGACTAGAATAAACAAAAAAACCCAAACAATCTCTCCTATACTGAGAGAATTCAGCTGACAACTCTTCTAAAAAACAACACATCTGAGAGGTATTTTGGGTTTCCAGAATGAACACAACACACATGGTAAGAACCTGGTACTCACTGGACAACTTCCTGGCTGGCCTGGCTGAGAGTTCCCCTCTGAACTGACACCAAAACTTCCTACTCAAGATTTAATGGGCACAGCAGCACTACATGGGCCTCCAGAGCTGGCTAGTCAACCTTTTCCATTATTTTATTAATAAACTATTTATTCTGTTAAAAAGTTGTGACTCAAAGCAATTTCAATAAAGTTTTAAGATCTGGCAGCACAAGCAAAGCAAAAAGAAAAGCAAATAATAAGGCAAGGCTCAGTTTTCAGAGGTACCAAATACTCTCTGCTCCTGGTGATATTAGCTGGATTAGCCATAAACACAACTATCTAACAATGATCCTTTTGATACAGTGAAATACATCATTTGGCTCTTTCAGATTATCAAAACTCAGATAAAATGCTCTCACCCAGAATAAAACTTTGTCCATTCTGTGTTTTTTCTTTGCTCACATTCTGGACCTAAAATGAAGAAAAGGTGTATTTTCCCTGTGTCCTTCAAGAATTAACTATTATGTGTTCCAAAATATTACACAATAGTATTTTTGTTCCTCAATAAAAGGATTATGTATTTTAGATTCACATTTGTCAGCTAATTAAAACTATAACAAGTGAAAAAACCTTACCAAAACCACAAACAAACAAAACCCCCAAACCTTTCCTCTTCAGAAAAAAATTACCAGCTTGTCATGAACAACAAATAAAAGCTTAAACCCTAAAATAGTAAAACAAACAAACAAAAAGCTCTGAAGATGTTAATTTTTTTCCTATGCAGCAGCAGGGAGGAAATTCCACTGAATTAGAAAGGAAATTATGACAGTATTATCATGGAAAGTCAATGCAAGCTCTTTCCCTTTAATAGCCTGGAAAACAAAGCTGTTGTGGCTTTGTTAGAAAAGGGCAAATTGCATCACTGGTGTCTTGTATATAAGCTTTATATGTACATATTTACTGAATGCATGACAGAAATAATCTCATCAAATTCATTCAGCAAGGCTAAAGACTTTAATTAAGGTCACATTATTATAATATCAGACCTAACCCAAATATAAAGAACACTGCATGCAATAGGATTTGATGACTTGACATGCTAAAATATTTTTTAAATGAGATTAAAACAAAACACAAAAAAAAATATCTGAAAATCTCTCCTTAAAAAGCCGTAACCATCAGCTTCCAAAGTTAAAAAACTACATTCTCTGCAAAGTCAAAAAGTACAAAGAATAATAATATGTTTTGCAAAGAACAATCAAAGCGAAGTTACCCCACAGAGTAACAAGAAAAAAAACTTTTCAAGATGCAGAATAAAATCACAGAAGCTCTTTAAAGGGTACCTTTCTCAGTCAGAACATTTAAATTGGGTCCTAAACCCAGCAAATGAAAGGAATAAGAGAAATAAACCAAGTAACATTTTAGTTACTCCCATTCATTATGCTCTGCAAAGATGAATCCCCTTTCAATGTCTGGCAATATTTAGAAATAAAGGATCTGTCTGATTTATTGTATACTTACCCCTAAATTATTAGGAGGATCAATCAGACTGAGATTAGGGAGAGATGCCTGAAGTGCATTTACATATACTGGCTGAGAATGAATGGTGGACATTAAAGCTGAAAATTTAACAGAAACACACAGAGAAATCAACCATTTAAAAAGCATAAATCTGTGAAGCATGCAAATACTCTGACTTGTAACTCATAATTTTATCTTCAGTAAGAGCACACCTGATATCAAGAGTATCCAGTGGTATCAAGAGTAACCAGTGCAAAAATAGCATGTTACCTTCATGTTTGTACTTCTGAATCTTCCTAGTCAGGTCTATCCTGTGAATATTTTGAAAACAATTTTCTATCAAATCCAGTTGATTAGGAGCCACCAAATTTAGTTTCTCCAGGTCAATCACAAGAGCTAGAAAACTCTAGAATAGCAACAGAAAACAAAGTTGTCATATTAGTAATTTGTATCCTATCTGTAAGTTACAAAGCAACCAAGAAAATAACATAGGGAGGTCATAAAGATTGTAAATTCGAGAACTAAGGATATTACCTTCTGAAAAACTATGAAAATTATCTGGAGGAAACAAGAATTCTTGGTATTATCATAGGAAAAATGAAAACTAGGAAGTGATATTCTTAAAAACAAATCAAAGTTTTGGAGGAAACAGTTTTGCTTTTCCTTGTTGCTACAAAGCAAGTCACTTGGAATGTCACCTCATGTGCCACAAAGCTAGAGGTAAGAAAAGTTTTGGGGAATTTGCAGGCCCTCTCTCCTTCTTTGTTTAAGATAAAAAGAAAAAAACCTCAAAGGAAGAAGACAGAAATCTTCATTTTTCTATGCAGAGCTGTCAAGGAATGAATGAATGAATCTCTAATGAATCTCTGCTTTCTCAGAGCATTTAAAACTAATATGCAGAATGCAAATGTACAGAGGAACTCATAATTAAAATAAAACTGTTCTTTTGCAAATGAAGCAGAGCACAAACAAAAAGTGACCTTGAAATACAATATACATTTAGTATGATTATTGGTTTAAGATCCTTTGTATATGAACTTTCAGATCAGTAATACTGAAGATTTTTTTAATGCCTTCTGCCTATGCTAACACCATTCACTACAGCAAGTCTTCACTGTCCCCTCTTACTGTTTCTCATGCTTCTTTCCTTGAATTGAAAAATAAAAATGAAGTAGAAGCCACTACTCTTTTTGCACTTCCTGACTTCTGTCTACTCCTGCGTCACTATCCCTTGCAGTACTGCCTCCCCTTTTTTGCTGTCTATCTAGTTCCATTTTTACTTTAATCTCTCATTGCTCCAGAGAAGACCAGCAAAAAGACATTACCTTATCTTTTGCCATTTTCATTCGAGGTGCGTAATCTCTGAGTAGAAAAACTAGAGAATTCACTTCTTCTTTTTCCAGATTCTCATTAAGCTCTACCATTAGCACTCTGAAATAAAGTTGACACATTTCTAAAGGATTAGCTTTCAGCAAGATCCTATCCCCACCCAGTTTCTCCTAATTTTCCATTTTTAATATTCCATTCCCAATTAAACAACAGGAAAAAAGCCTACCCTGCTCCAGATCTAATTACAAAATACCTACTCTTGCTCATCAGCACCTGAGACACTCAAACTGTGTAAGATTCACTGCTAGAAAAACAGAAGTCTCAATATTTCAACAGAGATGAAGCAAGAGCATGAGACAACAGAAAAATTCTTTCACTTTTTAACTGAGTAGTTACAGGATTTTTATTTCAGTGATAAGTTAACAAAGGAAAATCTTCCCTTTGAGTACATACACTTTTTTCTGAAGTGTCTCAAAGAAAATAGGTGGAGTTTCTTAATTTAAGCATCTTAAAACTACAAAGTAAAAAGTAGTAAGAGACGGGTCCCCTGAGAAAGGATATAATATGACAAGGCTATGTGCCCAAAGCAAACTAGAAAAGAAAGTATCTCTAACTAATGTTGTTCCTTTATAGCCTCAATTCTATCTGCTAATCTAGAACTGTGCAAACATCACTGGTTCTATTGAGTAACATACATAAACTCCTTAAAGACAGATGCTTCTAGTGCCATGACTTGTAAGAAGCTACTAAGGCTCATTTAAGGGACTAAACTTCACCTATTCTTCTCACTATAACTCTAGATATGATGCCCTTTGCTGCTTTTCTTTTACCTCCAAGACTTATTTAAAAAAGAAACGAAAAACAAACCCACAAAAAACCCCTAAAACCCAATCCACACATATTTTGAAGACAATAGAGTAGCTTTGAAATTGAAATAGACACATTACCTGTAATCAGGGACAAGTCTGAGACTCCTGGCAAGGTTAGCTTCCACTGTTGCCTTCTCAGTCTTCAAGATCCTCCTCAATAAGTCAAACCTCTTAACTCTGTATAGCAGCTCAGACAAGCCAAGAAAAGACAGTATCTCCCTCTCATTCAAAGCCACCAAAAGCTCTCTAAGGTCGGCAGTGGCCAAGTCAGGAGCAAGATCTCTGCACAGGAAAACCATCATCTCTTCTTCTTCTTTATCCAATTCTTCTTCAATTTGGTGAATAAGGGCAGCTGGCACTTGGCACCTGGTCATCACTTTGTCGCTGTCCCTCTAAAATTGCCAGCCTACTGTTTTTTAAACAGGAAGCCAACATGACGGGAAGCCTGTGTCTACCACAGCATTTCTCTGGTGTTCATTCTTAACTAGATGCATTTTTACATAAGCAGTTCTGTGAAAGAGAATTAAAAGGCACTAAATCAGTGATCTGCTGCACAAATTCACAGTTAACTCTCCTGTCTGATGCATTTCACTTATAACTAAAACACCAACGTAATCTACACAGACGTCTTGTTCTCAAGGGGTTCTCCCAGCTGTTCATTACAGAACAAGAAGTATTTGTTAGGTCATACTAATCAGACGAAAAATGGAAGTTCTTTTTAAAGTAAAACTACCTTATCACAAGTCTGTGAATTCCATAGGAAGTGAAACAAAAGTCATCAGCTTGCTGATGAGTGATATTTCAACTCTTTTTCAGACACACTTATGTTCCATTGCAATTTAAATCTAATGCTCTGACCTCTTCCCAGCAACCCTCCATCCCCCTGCTCGCCACCACCTTTTCTCCCCTAAAAGTCTCAAAGCATTCTTCAGCAAGAGTTTTGCGGTTTTGCGAGCTAAGAGGTTGTGTAAACACACATTGTAGACAAAAGAATTAAAAAAAACCAAAACCCATACAAACAGGAACATGTGGATTTTCTTACTTATTAGCATCATTTGAAGTGACTCCAATCTGAATGTGTTACTGAGGTTTTAAGGACTCCCCACACACCCCTGCTATGCTCAAAAAGATCGAAGAACCATGCAAAGAAAAAATTCCAACCTTAAGTATGCAAACTGGTTAACTCTGAAGGTATAAGTAAGCCATAGACCGCCTTTTTCTTCATGTGACATTCATGTTTCCCCGTATTGAAAACTGAAATAAAAATTCAGACCTAGAAAAAAACCCAGCCTTGTGATTAATAAAATAAGTAGGGTGCTATGCTCAATTTCCACTGCCACCACCTATGGAAATTCTATCTAACCTTCTCTGATCCCCATTGCCTACATGGAGAAAGGTGAAATGAGCAATCTGAAGACTAATTTTAGACCTTACAAGGAGTTCAGTCACTATACTGAATAATTTTGTTTAAACCATTCTGAAAAGCAAAAGCCAATTTGACTTCAAAGCCTAATATACTGAAAGATTCTAGCACCTGGGTGACATTTTTTAAAGCATTTTCAGTTTTGTTACATATTCTCAAAGTCACAATCAACAATGTCACATACTGTGTCCATGCATTAAGGAGATACGATAAACTCATTACAAGTGCCTCTTCTTTTTTTCATTCCAGTGATGTTTAAATGGAAAAATGACTCTATATAATCGACCTAACTTTACTCAGAAAGGGAATAAGAGTTGGATTTGATTAAATCCATGGATTAGGTTCCATTGTCCACTGAAAATCCGTATCTCATTCCAGTTCCTAGGGCAAAGCCTCCTATATCAACATCTATCCCAGTGAGCCATATTTTCTATGAAGTCAAAGACTGCAGTAGCTTTCTCCTCCATTGCTGTTGGTGACAGAGACAATAGTAAGTCATCAGTATTTAAAAAAAAAAAAAAAAAAAAAAAAAGAAACA